GATCAACTTGCCTACACTAGATCAGCTGTGTGGCAAAGGGGAAATGTAGATAAGATACTGTCAAGCCGCGATTGAGCTGCTTCCAAATCGTGCTTCGCTACGTTGAGCTCCTATATGTAGCGTCACCTCCTGCTCGCCATTCATTGCGGTGTTGACTAGGTGATTTTCATTGTCAATATCATGGCCATACAGCCGCTAATGGGCAGTGTTATATCAGCTACGACCGAAGATTCCGTTACAGGCAAGGTATCTCTCCATTTACCCATTTCCGGTACTTTGTTGCGTAATGTCTGCTAAGAACATATTCACATTGACAATCATGTAATGTCCATACCATGAAATAGGTCATCTCTGGACGCAAGGAATCTAGCAATACGAAGGCTGGAAGCACATAAAACCAACCGTGTCGACCGATCATTCTCCTCTGCCTCTGGAGTTGTTTGCACTATAACAACGTCGTGCCGTTTCGATGTTCACGCTGTATTTGTATGCCTACTACAAACTTGATGCTGCCCTTTCGACTGGATTGCTTATGCAAAAAGATAAGCGTTAGATGCTGCCTGTAGATCACAAAGAAATGGATGTCAATTTACACTGCTATGGTGTCTCCTTTGTAAGCAATCGATTAAAAGTGATGTGTACGTTTCAGAAAGCCGGCTGGAACAGTTGTCGACGTGTCCTCATCATTTGCGACCACATATCAAGTATAACCAAACTACCAGTGACGCCAAATAGTGCACCGATGCAGCCAGTGTCGATAGCACGAAGACAGCTTTCAGCAATCGGTATCTTTGCAACAGCGAACGCTCCATCTGTGAAACTGAGGCGATGGACATCTTCCTCCAGGCTGCCATATCGCCGCTTTCTGCAGCGACAGGCGACGACGTTTGACTTTGTCAGAACGTCTGTGGACTGCACGACCTGTTGTTCGCCTTCGATTCTCTCGGCCATAGATAGTGTCAGAAACTCACCGTCAGAAGACTACACAACATAGCAGCACCATCTGCTTCGATAATGAACGACATTGAGGCGGCTAGAAAGCGACTCGTAATCCGGTCTGCACGATTCGTACTAGCATGAGGTACGAACGCATCCGTTACGTATCATTCCCTTCCATTTCTCGGACCAGTAGTTAGTAGCATGTCAATCAAGTTTCACCAAAGTTATGCGGAAACAAAAGTCGGCGCGCGTCACACAGCAGGAAACGTATGTGCCATCTCTCGAGTCGCTCGCGCGCAGATGCAATGCGTGTATCATAGCTGGCAATTTATCTTGAACCCTTGTGGACCTGTAGCGTGGTATACCATTATAAAATGACAACATTGCAGCATCTTTTGGTCAATGTTTGCAGCTGGTCGCACCATCTTCTTTTGATGGTTGCCGCAAACAGTCCTCTTATCGAAGTTGACGCCCTGTCTGGAGTCAGGAATGTCGTCGTCATCAACGTGTGCATCGACGCGCTGACTCTTCGCCGCGTGAATACTTAAGTGGGACAACACCGCGTACTCGTATTCATACCGCTTCCGAGAACAGATAGCAATGGCGCAGGGCAATGCAAGAATAAGATAGTAGAAGGTGATGTGACCACGGAATCAACAATCAGCACTAGAATTTCTATGCATGTTCTTTGATGGTCACAGGTCTCGATTGTGAGTGTAACAATGACACAACCTTCATTCCAGCGACCTGCGTGGACTGCATTTCTGCAAGGCAGATTTGCATCAACGCTACGTAACCGTTGATTCCCATCGTCCAGAAGTACACTCTAATCGTTTGTCAGCGATCCATTCTGGATACGTTCTTACAATGCATTGCTGCCTGACACATGTCACCAGCTCTTCGACGAAAACTGGCGAAGTGACAACGAGTTTTCAGACGTAAGATTTGGTACCACGTGGCACACCGAGTTTGCCATGTGTAACGTCAGACACTTCGCACATCTACGCTGGTCATTATCCGGTCTTTGGCAAAGCTCAAATTTGTCGCACATTGCTAGCGAATGTGCGAAAGCTCATCCGTCTGTTTAGAACTAGTGTGAAATTGGCACAGCAACACATTCTCTGCTCTGTGATCGAAGTCAATGAGAGACACTCCGCACGCTCAACGCCTAGAACTCTCTTCCGAGCTCGTTTGCCTGTTCCGTCGTTTGCTATGATTGCTCGAGTGAATCTGCTGTTCGACGGCGTCTCACACAGCTGTCATACCATTTGACGCTCGCGTACCGTTCTGCGGTCCCAGATATATTATCGTATGTAAAGACAGCGAACCTTTTAAATATTGATCTCAGTCGATGCACGTGTTCGATTCAGCTCAGTACTCATGGTCTGTAGTACTTTCGAGACGAGCAAGTATCTGCTCTCGACATTTTGATAGTGTTGACGATTTCGTGCGAGGCGAAAGCATTTGTGACGGAACGAGGAGATCAATGGTAACTTCCAATCAAGACCAGAAGCAGAGCAGAGTCCACACCCGCTTCGACATGAACAATCCAAAACAGCAAACAGCAGACTTGTCGATCATGTCTCGACAAGTAGTTGTCTCTACCAATTTCCCTTCCATGTGCATTTGAAGCACTAGGACCTTTGTCCGTGTGGGAGAGATGATGCGTTTGTGGCGCGGAGATTGTGCACGCTGCTCATATGTTGGCCACTGCACGCATGTCTGCAACTGAATGCACTCGAATCCGCTGTCAGCGAGTCTTCATTTTACATTTGACCGTCACTAGAGACACTAATGGTTCGGTTTCCACATGAGAAGTGTGCAAGTCCAGACGATATAAACTCATACGCGCCTTGGTCGCTCGATCAACGTGATGTCCTAGCGAAGAAGCCGCGCTCTAAATCGATGCAACGGCTGGCCCCAATCATTTGCGGAGTAATAGCGCTCTTCTCTGTTATTGTCGTTGTGGGCGCGACTTTGACTGCCGATTCAAGCAGTCCCAGCGACACGTCGAGCCCGAGTGGAAGTAGCGCAACTTCCGCTGCATCGTCTACTCGGCTATCGTCCTGCCCTCCTGTCGCCGCCAAAAACCGGACTGTAGCATTCTGGCAAAGCGAAGTTGCTGGATGTGACACCGTTCCGGATGGCGTCACTCACTTGATCTTTGGCTTTGCACTTGTCGCAGAAGGCGTTATCGTGCCCACGTTCCAGTCGTCCGATGACCACATTACACAATGCGTGAAAACCCTCCACGAGCGCTGCATTTCGACACTGGCGAGTGTTGGTGGGTCAACTAACAACGACAACATGTCGGTAATTGCGAACGCGACGCTGTTTGCTGAGTCAGCCGTCAATCTAGTGACGAAGTTCGGGTTTGCTGGCTTGGATTTCGACGACGAGACTGTTGGGGTGCAGTTTAGTGCCGATCGAACGATTGAGCTGCTGAAGGCTACACGGGAGGCGCTGGACGAAAGTGGTGGTACTTCGTCGGCTTTGCTGACCTACGATGCCTATTTCAGCGAAGGAGACCTCGCAGTATGTTCAGCAGTCGACGCAGCAGTATACTCGAGATGCTTTCCGACAAAGGTGCTCGACTACGTGGATTGGATCAACATTATGGCGTACAACGTCCATGAAGACGATGCCACTGCAGCAGCAATATACGCGGCGGCTGAGAATACTACTTTTGCAGCGTGGAAGACTCAGTTAGGTGGCGATTTTTCCCGCGCTACGGTTGGTCTATGTGTAAAGGGTGGATGTGCCTATGGTCCGGGGCCGAATGCAACAGTGATTAACGAATGGGAGAAGTTTGGCCGCCAGGATGGACACGGGGGTATGATGATATACTCTGCATCGGCAGAAGTAGGCGATAATTTTGCAGTTACCAGGAGCATCATTCGCTCGTCGTAAGCAACGGGCAGCACTTCGATCAGCTTTGCATTTGCTCCGGAAGCAAATCTCAGCTATAAACATGACGGAATGGTGACTCTTGCACGGCAAGCGGTATAGTTGGTAGGACACTTGCTGGCTCAACAGTCAATCCCATAACTCCAAATGTGTCGGCAGTTGTAGCGTAACATTTCTACATATACCACATAAACTGTGCATTAATCGACATCGAAACAGGGTTTCACGGGTGCCTTACGTGCGCTCTCTACACTTTCTTGCAGCCGCAGTCGCTAAGGATGGCGTCAAAACATCAGAGCGTCCGATTTTTGTATTGCAGTCGCCTGCGCATGTCGTTTGTACTCCAGCAGTTAAGACCGTTGTTGTACATCTCGTATGCTACCTCTTATATCTCATCAATCACCAGTTTATCCTGAACGGGCATAGTGCTTTCCAATACGTTCACAGCAAACTCTCCAATCTCTTTGTATGAGCGTAATACAGCGTGCATCCTTTTCTTCACGGCGAGCTGCTAAGTTTCGCCCGCATGATTTGCGGTACAGAGGTAGAAGCCGACTTACGTCAAACAAATTCCTGCAGGGTTTCTTTGTTTATTATATATTGCACCAAAACTGAGTACACCGTGGCTAAACAGTCTCGAACGCTGTAGTTTGTACGTAAGCAAAGCCCAATTAATTGACGAAATTGCACCGTCAGTAAAACTAATCACGATGTGGTGTATACCGCGGCTTACAGTCCGTCTATCTCCTGCCGAAAGCCGGATGGATGCACATGAAAGGAGCAGCCAGTCTCACGCCCACGAACCGTATATTTCGCACAATATATCATTATATTACGATCTCGGAATTACCGTGGGTCGAGCAATTTCTATCGCCTAAAGTCAAGATATCGCCCCAAGTGATCCTACAGCAATTACGACTACTACTACTACTACTACTACTACTACTACTACTACTACTACTACTACTACTACTACTACTACTACTACTACTACTACTACTACTACTACTACTACTACTACTACTACTACTACTACTACTACTACTACTACTACTACTACTATTTCTTCAACTACGACTACTACTCCTTCGACTACTACTACCTCTACTACTACTACTACTACGTATCCCTTACATCGATCGGCCCACTTGCACATGCTCAACGACGCGCGCGTGGGCGAGAAACGGCGTCGCGCGGGACGACGGCCGAGTCCCATATGGACCTTTTTCACCGAGTTGCGCACGGCCGACAACAAAGTGTACGCGTGCTGCCGCTTCTGCCCCAAGCGCCTCGCGGCAGTGGCCTCGCGCATGCGACAGCACGTGCTGAGCAAATGTGCGCGTGCGCCATCCGACATTCAGCAACTGCTCGACAAAGCCACAGGTAGTACCGGCGCTACTACTTTTCGCCCCATCTGTAGAAGTAGTACTAGTAGTAGTACTACTACTCCTACCAGTGCTACTATTTCTTCAACTACTACTCCTGCGACTACTATTTCGTCGGCTACTACTCCCGACGAGTCGACGAAGACGGCGACACTCACTTTGTCTCCATCGGCAGAGACTGTCTCAGTTACTACTGTGCCTATTGTCGGCCGTACAAGTGCTGACCCAATTGCATCGGACCGAACTGTGGCACAGCACACAGACGACGTCCAAAGCGCCGCAGTCGATGGACCTAAAGCGGCAGTCAAAGACGAGAGCAGACAGAGAAATACGGACCCAAAGAAGCAGACGACGACGACAGCTGTGGAAGTGGTGCGACCTGAAGGGGACGTAAAAACTCGTGCCAGGGACCGCGTACAGCTGCAGGAAAAACACTGCGACGCCCGCCGACGTGTGCACCAGAAACTCGTACTGGCGCTGGTCCTTCACGACGTACCAGTGGCGTTGCTGGAAGACGAGGCGCTGACGGAAGCGTTCGCGTTGGCGCGTCCTGACTGGCCGCGGCTCTCAGTGGAACAGGCGCAGACGACTGTGTTGCAGGAACTCGTGGACGAAGCGACTGCGACGATGGAGCAGGCGCTGGTCCGGTGTAAAGTGCTCACGTTGGTGCACCGACACTTTCAGCGGTGCCAGACAGGAACAGCGACTGAAGTAGCGTCGCAGTGGTGCAACCGGTGGACGGCAGTGGACGACCACCGCAGGGTCTTCCCGCTCAAGGAGAAGTGCAGAGATGTCGAGCCTCTGGTGTCGACCACGACGGACGATGAAGCCTCGTGCAAGTACTGCACGCTGCGAGAAGACTTTGATGCTGTCGTTTCGACCTATCGCCTCCGCCTTGCACCCGAAGCTGTCTTCTGCCTCTGCTGTGACTGTCCTCGGACGTACCAGCAACTACGATCCGAGCAAGCGCGGGCGCTGTCAACATCTACGCACGGCGCAGACAGCGGGAGCGAACTTGCGACAAAGCCGACACCCACACAAATGCTGTTGGGCGCGTGTGCAGTTCGTCTATCTCTTCGATTGCGCAAGGAACTGCTGACCACGTTCCCTGCAGTCGTCGATCTGCTTAACAAAGCCATGTTCCTTGGCCACAGTGTATCGAAGATCACACCGCTAGAACCGCAGCTGAAACCCTTGCTGGAATCGTCGAGGTGGGACGCAGTGCCCCGACTCATCAAGCGCATGGTGTATCTGGAAAACGACATCCGGCGCTACCAAGCCAAAGTCTCTGTACCTGCGGATGAAGTCGCGTCTTTTTGGGACAAGCTGCGTGTCGTGGACTCGTTGCTGACCCCGTTCAGCTGGATGCTGGCACTAAGTGAAGCCAGCGACACGACATCGGCGCAGTATGTCGTGCTTTGGCTGTGGTTGCTGGCAATAGTGGAGTCGACCACGTCGTGTTTGCTACCAAAGCAAGCCAAGCAAAGCTTCGTGTCCGTGGCCGTGTCTATGATTGAACGCCACGTCAATTCGCACGAGCTCGTGTGCGTGCTTCTGGATCCGCGTGTCGCCGGCGCCGGTCTTTCAGTCGCTGGCAAGCGGCGCGTGAAATCCTTAGTTGTCCAACTAGCGGAACGCGTGTTTCCAAGCGCAGGATACGGCAGTGGTGCTGTTCGCTCTCAGCTGTTGAACGAATTGGGCGATTACGCAGAGAGAACGGGAGTCTTTTCCGACGTCGTCGCGTGGGAAATGACTGTCGGTCGGCCCTCGACGCTGTTCTGGAACGACTTTGTCGAGGATGCGCCGCACTTGACTCGCGTAGCCCGTGCCGTCATTTCGATCTCACCGTTCGCACAGACAGCCACCGAGTCGTTCACCGCTCCGCTTCCGCCGGAACAGTGTTCGTGGGACCAGACGTTCGCAGTGCAGCAATTGAAAGCTCTGACTCGCACCCGTCGATCAACGCAAAGCACAAGTGGCTTCAAGCAGTACATCTCGCTGTTGTTCCCTCCATCTCCGTTGCCACAAGGCAGCGTGTCGGACAGTATGCTGTCGCGTGAAGTGGCCAACGCTCTTCGAGGGAACAACACGCTGCGATGGTCCGCACGTGACGAGACCAGAGCCGAAGCCATCGTCGTGCATCAACTGCGTCAAATACTGCAAGCAGGAGGCGACGACAGCGACAATACTCAGAGCAGCAAACAAGTGCCGGCCCCATTTCCAGCGGCCACGACACAACACGACCCGCTGGACGTCGGCGTCTCGTGGTTTGCGTTCCAGTCCGTCAACGACCTCAACGTCTTGGAAAACACTGTCAAGAAGTTTGTACAACGTCCCGCCGCCGCCGCTGTCGTCAATTAGCACACAACGTTCATGCCGCCAGCAGCGCAATAGCCCCACGCGTCGAGCCACATCCAAGTCGAGCCACGTCCGTGTATTAGTTCTCACAGTCTCCAACGTCGCGTGTCCCGACTCAAGTGTCCCAAGTCGCGTGTCCATCGATCTCTTCCATCCACGGACTACGCGAGCACAGGCTTTGGTCGGGAGGCAAACACGACGCGCGTGCGGGCGATGCCCACGACTTCGTACTGGACCTGCGCCGCTGCTGCTCCGACACTGCCGTCGGTCGTCCCGTCCATCGCGTGACTGGCGTCGCTCTTGTGCAGAATCGCGGTCCGACCAACGCTGCCCGACCAAACGCTGTCCGACCAAACGCTGTCCGACCAAACGCTGTCCGACCAAACGCTGTCCGACTAAACGCTGTCCGACACACGCTGTCCGACCAAACGCTGTTTTAAACACTTGGACCACCATATCACGTGCACCCCACGACGTTCCCGCAACGCCATCCCCTCTCCCGCTTGCCTGTCGACCATTGGTCAAAAAGCCCCAACCTTTTTGACCGCCCCGGCCTTTTTGACCGCTTGCGCTTCGAGTGTGCACCACACCAACGCCGCTCCACATCTCGCGCCGCTCGTTCCTCTGCCGCCGCCGCCATGCGATTCGCTCTCCGTCTCTGCCGCCGCACTCTCTCCCGCCGCGGCGTCGCCACCGTCAGCGCGGCCCTCGCCGACGCCGTCGCCCGTCTGCCGCACAAAGAGGCGCTCCGGAGCGCGTCGCAGGACGTGCGCTGGAGCTTCAAAGAGCTGCGCGAAAAGGTCGACGAAGTGGCCAATGGGTTCGTCGAGCTCCAGTTCCGCGCGGGTGATGTGCTGGCGCTGTGGCTGCCGAACAGCGTCGAGAACGTCGTGACGCAACTGGCGGCGGCCCAAGTGGGGCTCACGTCGGCAGTCATTGCGCCCGACGTGGCGCAGGGCGAAGAGCTCGCGTTCGTGTTGCGCGACAGTTGCGCCAGTGGGCTCGTGTTTGCGCCGAGGCAGGCGGGGCGGAATCAGACGCACGTGGTGCAATCGCTGTTCCCCGAACTGAGTACCTGTGAGATGCGATCTAAAGGGGGGGGGTTGAGATCAAGTGTGCGAGGGTATGCATTTGTAGAGGCCCTTTTTGACGCGGATGTTGTTTTGGTGTTGGTGCTGTTGTGTTATTTTGGTGCTGTGCTTTTGGTGTTTTGTTGTTTTGCTATTGTGTTGTTGACGCAGTTCGGGAGCGCCAAGAAGTGTTTCGTCCGAAGCACTTTCGTCACTTGCACAGTGTCATTACGACGAGTTTTGACGTGGTGGAAGGCATGATCAATCTCAGTGGCATGATGGTCAACAGCCCCGAGCCGTTTGCCCTGAAAGCCGTGGCCAAGACGCTGAGCGACAAGACGCCAGTTGCAGTCACGTACTCGAGTACGTGTGGAGCTGAGGCTTTTGTGGGGTCATTATCATTGCTGTTGTGGTCGTTGTTGTGGTCGTTGTTGTTTTGTCTGCTGAGTTGGGGAGTGCGCTCGTGTACTGTGTGTGTGTGTGTGTGTTGTCGATTGTAGAAGTTGAGGGTCAGCATCCCAAGAAGGGCGCAGTGCTCACTCATGGCGACCTGTTGAAGCGCGCCGAGGCGTTGGCCCAGAGGTTGTTTCTCGTTGTTCGTGCAACTTTTGGTACCCGGTGCTGCAACTGCTGTGTGCTGACGGCATTGTGTTGTTTGTTGTTGTGTTGACATGTGTGTGCAGCTTGCAGTTGACCGCCACGGACAAAGTGCTGCTCACTGGAGAAGAGACTGGTCTGTCGCTTGGCCCGCTCGCTGCTATCGGTCAGAGCGCACAGATCGTGCTGCCGTCCATGGAGTACAGCAAAGAGGCCGTGCTGCAGGCCATGAAGGTGGAGCAATGCACTGTCGTAGGCAGCGGACTTGACAACTTCAAGCGTGTGTGACTTGGTGGCGCTACGCAACGGTCGGGTCGTGACTTTCCAATGTGCATTGAGCAGATAGAGAAGGGACAAACATGAAGCAAAAGCGAGTGAGTGAAGAAGCGTTGTGTTGTTCGTGATTCGTGGGGCTCTGTATTTTGCATCGTCGTGCTGTGAAATCGCTCTTGTGGCAGGCGTTGACGACAGGTAAGAGACTTTGCCGCGACTGCAGGGCAAAGAAACGTTCGTTTGCCACTCTGTTCTCAGGCCATCAGGATGCCACCAAGACCAAAGGTGATCGTAGCAAGCAGCATGGAGCGCATCGTCTCGCGCGACGTATAGGGCGGCAGCTCGACCGAGAAGAAGCAAGTGTGAGCGACCGGCAGGCTGCGTGTGGCATCACGCCCACCTTTCTTGGACAACTTGAAGGGTTGCAGCCACTTGCCGCGAGGTAGACGACTCCGGCCCCATGCAAAGCGCACAAAGTCTGCACGTTGCGCGTCTGTAAACTCCGCGAGTATCTCCCAGAAGAGCAACACGGCAGGGTCATCCTCCGAGTAGCCATCGTACAGCGTGTGTCTCTGCCAAAGGTCCAGGTCGATCTTGGGCGAGCCACACGCGAGTATCTCGAGCTCCTGCCACGTCAGAAGTGTCAGCACACGACGAGGGAAAAGCGTCGCAAAGCCTTGGGCTATGGCAGCCACCTGCGCGCTGCCTTCGTCCAGACGAGCGAGTTCTGCAAGGCGACAATACTCCAGTCGGTTGTGGAACTCGACCTTGATGAGGCGGCCACCTGGTACGAGCTCCATCTCCTCGCCCGTGCATGACGAGGCCGTAAAACGCAACTCGAGGCCATCGAAGGCCGTGTCGAACTCTGCGTCCGTCGAGATGCCATCCTTCTCGCAATTTGCAATGCCGTCGAGCATCTGGACAAACATAGCGTCGGTGGCTTCAAGATCGGCGCGCGCGGGTGTTTGGCCAATTAGTCGCTTCCACACGAGTGATGGCAGCATGAACGGAAAGTCCCCGTGCGTGCGCAGTGAAATTCCCAAGAGCTGGCCGACAAATGCAAACATCTGTATGGCAACCGGAGACGTGCACTTGGGGTTGGGCAGATACATTCCTCGATTGTCACCCGTGTCGTGCTGACCATTGGGGCACAAGACAAACAAATGGAAGTGCGGTGAGAACAAGTCGTCAATCATGGACGTGGCACCCTCACGATACACTCCGCCCCAGTCCACACCTTCCTCTCCGCGGAATTTGACACTGAAGAGGCGACCCTTGCTGTCAATTTGACGTCGAAGTAGTGTCGGGTCTACCTGATGCAGTTGACGGAAAGCTTGAGCAAAGAAGCATTCCGACACAGACGGCTCCACTTCACGGTCATCACGCGACTCAAGCGCCTGTATTCTGTCCAGTGTGATACGCGCTGTTTGCTGCTGTGAGTTTGCACCAGAAATGTCCCGTGGCATATTCGTAGCTTCGATTGCAGCTTCCACCAGCGCATTTTTCACATCAAAGAAGATGCAGTGGCTTAGCTGACGCAGTCGGTAAGCCAATGTCCACGGTGCTGTCGTGTCACGCAGATCGATAAATGACAGGCAGTGTTGCAGACTCGAGTTCAGGTACTTCAACAGAGCAAACCGAAGTTGCAGCGTCTCCAGTGGCACATTCAGTAACTTTGAGCACCGCACCCCATCGAGCGTTTGGCTGAGCTGTATATCCACGGGCTGTAGATGTACAGAATGCCGAGTCGCTGTCGGGCTCGAAGACAGGGATGCTGGAGGTTCCACGTGCTTGTTCACCCAATCCACAAGCTGCGAGTCCATCGCTTCTGTCCAGCGGTCGTCATTTGACAAGTCACCCGAAGCTGTTTGTAGCAGAACAAGTTTTTGCAAGACACGTTCCATGTCTGTGACAGTCGCGCGAGCGAGCTGTGTCTCCTGCGGAATGCCCAATGCATTCACAGTCACTGCAAAGCCAAAGTGGCCGCCTTCGTTTTCGTCTGCGAGAAACGTGTACTCGAGATTGTTTCCATCGTAAGAAACGGCCGCGTCAGGCCACGTACTCTCCTCCGAGTACACTCGATTGCTGCAAATGTCTTTCACTGCTTCGCTGTCACGTGAAGTAATCACGTAGCTGGCGAGATCGAGTCGTGGCATTGTTTGGTCGTGGCCAGGCGCCAGTGAACAGCGTGAATCGAACGTCACTCGAAGAGCTTGAGCACCTTCGAACACCACTACGCCATTCGACGGGCGACCAGGGGTGTAAGGGTGGGAACTTTCGATCACTGCAGAAGACCCGTAGACCTCCAGCCATATCGCAACGAGAATATATTCAGGAAGATTCTCTACTTGTCCAAGCAAAAACTTCGTGAGCACCGACACGTCGTTCAAGCTACCAGCCACACACTTCCGCTCAAACGGCACTGGCATGTCAAAAGGTGTGCTGAGAACTGGCCCTGATGTTGTATTGGCGCCAGCAAGCTTGCGCTGAAAAGCAGACGAAGCGGAAGAGGTCATCATGGACAACTCCACAATCTGGAGCAAGTGTGCTGAGATGAACACTTTTTTCCTTGCTTGGTCACCCTCAGCGCATGTCAATGCCAATCGACAAATCGACTGCAGTGCATCCAAATCAGGCACCTCGTCAGCCGGAAACAGTTCGGGGTGATGCAACAACTGTTGCAATAAGCGTACAATGCGACCTTTATGCGGAGTTCCTGGTGAACGCAGGTAGCGTACAAGTGCGCCATAAATTTTACGGTTGTGCACACCTCCATGGGCTATCAACTCCGTCGCGTCGTTCAGCAAAAGTTCCAATACCCAGCACGCCCACTCCAGTGACGGGCCTGTCAGCACCTCAGATTCTTTTGTCCAGCGGATGCTAGCCATGGGTTTTACTTGGAAGCGATAGCCATAGCCAGTATGGTTGGTGGCGTGCTCCTCCGAAGCTGTAAAGCGGAACCAGAACTGGTGCGAACGGATAATCATGTCGGGTAGAAGATGGCCAGTAGCCGTCATGGCATCGTCAACGACCCCAATACGCTCCTTACAGTCCGAGTCTGCGAAGAACGTCAACGTTGTCTTGGCCCCCAATCGACAGCGATGATCGAATACAATACGCAAACAGCTACAAGGGCTGTCAACTCTAACGACTCGGGCATAGTCGCATCGACCAAAGTACGGGTGCAGCGACTGGAACTCTCGGAGCGGTAGTACCGTGCCTTCCCCGTCTCCTGCCATTCGCGTCGATTCTACAAAGTGACCAACGCAATCTTCAATCAGCACACTCGATAGCAGCGTATCGTGATCGTCCACGTTGTCACCCATGTACGCGCTAGCACCTTTCTGCGCCTCAATATCGAGCAACTGGCAGGTTCTTTGCGTGCACTCTAAAGCAGCGTCTTCGTCCTTGCTTTCATGATCTAGCCATTCCCCATGTCTTGCTTCATCCAATGTCGCAGGTACTGCTGCTGTAGATCGTGAAAGTGTTTGCGTGTCTCCGGGCATAGCAGTAACTCTACCCGAAGCATTCTCTTGTTCTTCGTGGCTTGCACGAGCTTGACAAACTGGACGACAAATCGGACCCTTGGTGCTAAGACTTGGGAGACAACGCCGTTCTGCAGCAGTTCGTGATTCTTCACGAAGGATTCTCAGTGCTAAGGTCCGCATGCTTGTCAGCAAGGAAACGTGTTGCTCAGTGTTATCAGAAACCGGTTGACAACGCACCCAGCTCCTGTCTGGTAAACCAAATCCACTTTCCTTCGAGGCGTTTGTGAAATGCATCTCGGACGCAGACGCCATTTTCAGAAGACGTAGGAATTGACGCGGACCTCCAACTACATTCATGATCTCACTCGCGTACGAAGACAGCTGCAATGGCGGTTTATCTGCGGATTCATCAGTAGCCATTCCTGTCGCTTCCGAACGCGAACGGTCAACAGGAGTGAAAGAGCAAAGCAATGCCGTGATCGCACGTCTGGCGTAATAAGTAGACAGAGCATCTTCCGTTCGGATTGCTACGCGATGTATGCTGTTCACGTCTTCTAACGGCTCGTCATAAATCCTCACAACTCGACGCAAGTCTCGCGCAGGGATCCATTCGTCTTCGCATGCACCAGATTCCGTGTTCAAAAACGTCAAAAGCACACCGTCGTCAGGTGAATAACGCCTGTAGATACCTGTCCGTCCGCTCGTAGCTAATTGATGAACTGGGCCAACGTCACTCGTTACCGTCAAGAGAACGTTTGGGGTCAAATAGCCAGGGTCGAGTGGGAAGAAGGCTGTCGTACTCGCATCACGTGCTGCTGCAACGCCCAAGTTGGACTTAGGAAGAACTGATGCCAAGATCGGAGCAAGAGTCACTGCCATCGCATCGGCCTTCGGCGCGTAAGACTGATCTACGCCTCGCGTAGCAGAGTTTGAGCCCGCATGCTCAGCCGCCGTGGTGGTATGACAGTTGGAAGACAGTACGAGCGGATCAGGCTGATCGATCTCTTCCAAAGCCGCTTGATCTTCCAACACGACAGATCTTGCTGCTAAAAAAGCGTCGCTCAACAATGCTAGTGAGTCGGGTTTCTCGGCATACGTGCTGCCGTGCTCCATTAACCACTCCATAGCATGATCGGGGTTACTGTTCGACAGCTCTAACGCACATAATGCAAGACAGTACGGCATCCCAGAGATACCCTCGAGCTCCATCGCCTTAGCTTCAATCGTCAGACCTGTCATCCCATCCGCTTCATGAGCGAGTTCATGGACTGCCAGACTTGCCCGGGCTAAGTACTGCGCTTTCCGGCGTTCCTGGTACGTCGCAGCACCGTCGCCCATCAGCCATTCAACGGCTAAATTTGGGTCATCGCGAGAGTGTTCCAATGCGGACATACACAAATCGAACTCAAATCCCATCGCAGCCAACGTCGACGCGAAACCTCTTCGAACACGGTATGCTTCTGTTTCTTCCTCGGCGGGGTCATTGTTCACTTCAATGCCGCTCACATTTGCTGATGTTGATTCACTCGTGGCAAGTGCTGGGACAGTAGGCTCCTGCAGTCCATGAAACATTGCTTCACCGAGTGGAGTTGAGGATTCGATCAGGCGGCATAAAACCATTCGACCTCGCTCCTGTAGGAGCGGCAGACTGACAAAGCTGTCCAGACATACCGGAGTCAAAGCAAAGCGAATCAGAGTCTTCGTCACCGTGTCATGCGCAAAACGTTTAGTCAATTGGGCCGACTGGTGCAATAGAGCCTCCAAAGCCAAGAGCGCACGAGAACGAATTTGTGATCGCCACAAGCTACCACACTCTTCCAACAGACTTGAACTTTCCAACAATGACAGCTGGAGAATCACTGGCAGCATGTCCGTTGTCAGCGGCACTGCTGATGGAGGCAACAGTACTTCTTCAGTCGGCGAGAGCACCGTCAAGTCGACATCCTGGACATTGTGGCTGGGATCGAAATCCGACTCGGACGAATGAGGGTGAAAAACAACTCGAATGGTAGAATCACGCGCACTCATCTCAATCAACGTCGCGGTAACAGAGTGTGTGCTTGCGTCTGCTGGTATGCAGGCCCCACTGATGTTAGTGTTTTGAGTAGGAACTGCAACTTTGCCGCCAATTCGTATGCAATCCGAATGAGTGCCCAAAACACAAAGAGCCCCGACAGCTCGAATAATGGCTGTCCGCAGTCGGATGTCGAAGGAATCCGAGCTTGCCCTCATACTCTTTATCGACTGTGGACCCGGTGTCTTCCTAGCTAATATGGGGGCAATATTGTGGATTGCGTTGCACAAGTTCTCGGAAACCTTCTCCTTCCAGTGTTCATTCACCAATAGATGTCGCAATAACGCCACGCTTTCCGAGGCCACCACCAAGGAAATGTCGCCAGACCGATACCCCATTGGGTTGCTCAATGACTCAGACAACGTCATCGAATCTTCTTTGACCGTTGCTCCGACCTGGACGCTATTTGCTGGAACAACGACTGCGTGAGTTGCCATGGGTGCAGCTGTGCTACACACTGACTCAGCTACTTGGTCGAGCAGCAAATCGATCAGCACAGACTCGGATCCAAGGATATCACCAACATCGTCAGGCCTGACATGTCCGCTACAGCACATTCTGCGAAGAAGCAGCTTGACGACACGTTGGGACCGAGGTGACGCAAGACGAAGCATTCCTAGCAGACCGCGAAGCATCTGCGGTCGAACTAGATAAGAGAATGTAGAAGACTGTTGGCTTTGCGAAAGCATGAATAATAGGACCCCAAAAGTGTGCATCTCCACTTCCAGAGACTCCAAACGTTCGCTGTTTCCAGACACGTTGCTCGGGCACGCATTATGCACATGCACAAATCCAGACTTCTCCCGTGTTATATCGCTTGGGTACTGGCAAATACCTGCACCTCGATTTTTAACAGGTGTTGAAGCCGATCGAAGCATTCGCTGAGCACGCGTCAGTCCCTCGGCTTCTTCGGTGAGCTCTTTTCCTCGTAGCAGCTCTTCCTCAAGAGCTTCAAACACTTTTCTGTGAAACTCTTTGGAAAACCACAAGGTTTGGAGAACAGGTTCTTCTAATTCCCTGTTCGTAGCCGCACACTTGGCCGCTTCGCTTGCAACCTCAGCTGTTCTAGTAGTAGAATTATCATCGGGTACACCCAAAGGCGACGCGTGTGAGATCTCTGTACGTAGCAGCCCATTGACTGCAGACGAAGCCACATTTCCAGGGCCGCCAGACTTCTGAAGTCGCTTCTTTCGCTTCGTTTTTGCAGCAGCAGCAACTGCTCGAGCTTCTTCCTCTCTTCGATCGTAAGCACCACTTATGCCAGTCGATGCCAAAAAACGAAACACAACCCATGCGCACTTTCGTGTATGCTTCCGAATAATTATCTGCTCGTCAGTACAAGCAGCCCATTGAGAAAGCAGTCTACTTGTCGTCGTATCGAGCTGATGACCGGTAGATCCATCAGTGTATGTACCGTCGTCATCATCGAACAGTTTTACATCGCTATCAACATCTGTCCGAGATGACGAGTTCCATCTTTTCATCGCATTATGCTCCTCGTGTGCACAGACTAGTTTCGTTATACGGACGGATTCGTGGAATCGGGTTGTCAGCCAAGACCGAATCTTTCGCTGAAAGGACCGAATACACATCACAGTCCAGCTCCATTCGTTCACCGACATATCGTCAATTTTGCCACTACCGAACACTGGCAACCTACTCGGGCTTGAAACCCAAAGACAGTGCGAGATTGTCAAGTTGTGACTCCGTGGATCAGAATCGCAGGCCGTTGCTTCTAGAGCATGCGAACGATCGAAGCTGTAAATGCCTTCTCCTTCAGTCAAATGCCACAGTCCAATCATGTCATTGGACAGCGTTCGAGACTTCACTACAAATGCCTCGTTTGAGCGCTTGACGAGAGGAATACTACGCTGAAAATCATGCTGAATGTCCTGTCTAGTGCGCGATGTTTTCCATATCCGAACTTCAGCAATCGATCCCTTGAACTCGCGCTGCGAGAAAGCGTTTTCAAGAGCTGCTCCATGTGTACCGGCACTATTCATCCAACATCCCAGTCGCGACGGACGGAAGGTCACGCTACTGCATACGCGTTCGTACTCCATTTTCTCCGACAAATCTCCGTTCACAAAAAACTGTAAATGCCGATTCTCTGCGTCGTACGTGACCGCGCAATGGGTCCACACGAAGGTCTCGAACTGGTACGATTCAAACAACTGCTCGCGCGGAAAGTTACCTGGGATCGAAACCTGCAAGCGCCGTCCGATTAGTTCCAGATATACACTACCCGTTTGAACGCCATGGTCACATCGCAACGCTTGAATCTCGCCCAGTTCAGTCGGAAATATCCACATTTCGATTGTAAAATCCTTTACTTCACCCAACGCTGGCATCTCCACGTAACTTACTTTGTCTGGCTTGTGAGATGCACCCGTTTGACCGCCATGTACAGTTTTGGATACTTTTCTGTCTCCGAATTGTAGCACTTTAGAAGTGGAGGCGCTAAGAAAAGGTCCTTGGAGCTTCCGTTCAAGTTTAGCCAGCATGTCAGCATAAAGTAGCGAAAGCGAGGAAGCAGTATGGCGTGCGGTAGATGAAATGGCATCACTGTCGTTTTCCAGGTCGTTCTTTTGCCACCATTCTACCGGACATGCATAGCGAGGGGCCCGACGTAAGAGACGAAGTACATCGCGCTTGGTCACGTAGCCACTTCGTACGAGTCCTTCCTGAACAAATTTCTCTGACAGAGGATGCCAGTTTATGCTTGAGTATATGTCGAAGGACTCACGCGGCAGCATCGTATTCCTAGACATACTACCGTATTCCTCAACCACCTCGCGTTGTACGGAACTGATGGAGAAAATCTCCTGCAAATGAAGCAGCATCCCTGTATCTAGCAAGAACTGGTGATCCTGCGCCTCGAAATCCAAGCACCACGCGCACAGTATAGACTGTTTCAACTGCGGATCGGACACGCTGTGGCCTGAGCCACTCCCCAGCAATTGAGCCAAATAAGTGTATAGCTCACGAAATGCAGTCTGTACCTTTTCAATGATTTGCCGATTACAGCCCTCAAGTCCTTTCAAATAGTGATGGCGTACTGTAGCCCGAAACGTTTCAGCAATGACGTGTCCGTCATTCTGCTCTCGTGATTCTTTCTCACTTTCTGTAAAACCTCTCATCGCAGGGCGCAAAAATATGATAGCATTGTGGATGGCCGAGTCGAAGGACAGTGTCGACAATATGCTCTTCATCGCTTGTAGTCCAAAAAGTCGACAATCGGATCGTCGTTGACGTCTCTCAAGCAGTAATGTAAGAACTTCGGGTGGCGCGCCCGTTCCATCACGAATGTACAGTTCACACGCTTTCATCATCGCGGAAAAAGTGTTCGTATAGTGGTATTTCTTTGCTCGCGATAGATCACCAGAGCCTTCCGTGCTTATCGTGGCGTCGCCCGCAACAGATTGTGCCGAAGTACCTGATGTTTTCGTAGACGCAAGACTCTGAGTAGAAGATCGTCGAGCTCTCCATCGGTGTTGTGCACGCAATATGTCTACTATTCCCGACCATTTGGACCTGTCAGCCTTGCCAAGTACTTTCCAGCGCTCAAGGACGGGTTTTAATGACGGAAACGTCGTTTGGGTGCTCCACTTCTCTGCCAACTTGAACAGTGCGACATGCGAATCCCCCTTCAGACGATCTGCTTCCTCTGAGGGTGGTGCCAGTTTACACAAAAACCTTGCTCGCTGGATCATTTGTTGTAAGTGATCATCAAATGTCTTCGGTGCCACCACGCTTCGCTCTAAATTCACTTTGCCACCAAATTGCTTCAGCAAGAAGGAAGTGTCAGATTGCTCCACGGGTGTAGCAGAAAACTCACCAGGTTTTTCTTCAGGTAAACCGGGTTCAGCTCGTGATGAGTCGTCCGCTTCTCTTGCGCGATACCCTTGTCGAATCTTGATCAACCGGTGGCGTAGCATCATGACCCGCTTCCAAACACAAATCAGATCATCAGATGGAGCTAAGTCCGTGTAGGCAACAAATGGGTCTGCCCCGATATTTTCGCCATCTTCACTTGCCCTCGCGCCCACAGCAATTGCTTGCACTTCTTGAAGAACATGAGCTGGTGCATGCATTATCAATGCGGCACACATCCATCGTTCGCATGATGGAAATCGTCCAAGTCGGCTCAATAAAGTACTATCCGGATAATGCTTTTCTAGCCATGACATAATAAGTTGCACGCTTCCATGATCTGTCATATCCGCCGTCCATTCCTCCCAAAACAGAGAGTTGCGCTCGACTTCACTAGCCTGTGATCGTCCTCCTGAACCAAGATTGTCTAACACTGAGTTTCTTTGTACATTTGACAGCGTGCTCGGCGACAAGCTCGTCAAGACCCCTGATTCAGAAGTGTGGCCCTTCACCAAGTAGCGAGCACACTCGGCCTGAAGTGCATCGCTCCAAAGCAACGATTCGTTCTTGCATGACTGATGCTGCCCAGCGTCAGACTTAGCAATGCCTCCACTAAGTAACGAAGACTGCAGCCAAGGTAGTAATTCTTCTTCCGTCTCATAAATCGGGTGCCCAGCGATAAGGCTGCCGGCGATACGGCCAGCTAGAGAAGCCAAAGAATTGTGCAAGTCAAAAAGCCAGTGAACTTGAAGACTTGACTCCACGATTCCCGACGGACACAATTGTACAAGATCTTGGGTACTGTACAGCGATACGCCAGCAAAAACCATTTTAGGGAGCTCCTCCATTGTTGCTCCCAGCGGTTTAAATTCCTTCGGTCCCACTGCAACTCCCAACCTTCTACCATTGTATGCGAATGACAACAGTTGCAAATCGTAGTCGACAATCATCGTGAATATATCGCCCACAGCAACTGGAAGCTTAGGCCCGTAATCATACCGTGCTCCTCTTATCCAGACGGAGCCAATGGATGGCATCCAGCCCACACTAGTCGTCGATTTTCCCACAAACATCTCATATGCCGAAAGCTGCGAGCTAGAACGGCACTTTTCGTGTGCTTGCTGCCAATCAATTCCAATGCAAACATGCCCAGATGACGTACCGCCGGCACGCAAGCATTTCAGAGAAAAATCAACAGAGTGGACTCCATGAAGGAAAGCTGTCCGTAGCAGACACGTTCGCCACGTGTCAGTGCTTCCGTCTTTCACATAAACGGATGTTCCTGTGTGGCTGATGCAGACCGAGCTCAGCTTCTTCTTTGGGTCGAATCGCAACGAAAGACAACCGTGTGGAGGCACAAACAGCGGGAGTCTGGCTAAGGGGGCTTCATCTTGGACCAGGAACGTCGGGACGCCGTACGCAGCACCAATCATGTTTTGGGACGCAGGGAATCCCGCAGACCCGGACGCGTAACAGTCCCGCAAAATCTTGATGAAAGACTTATCGTACTCTTCATCAAGCAAATTTTCTCGTTTGTACCATGGGTCTCCGCCATTTGCAAACTCTTGTGTTGTCAATCGGTACAACTTTCCTTGGGTGAGTTTAGCAGGAAGCGGTAGCATCTCGAACACATACCCGCAAGCGTCCTTTTTGGAATTTCCACCGATCGTGACTTGAGCGACCAGAGCTTGCGATTCATCCTCCCATAATCGAATTGTGTGATCACGTATTAGCCTCCCGCCATGTCGAATCGGATTGACAGAGCGTCCCAGCGCGACAATTGTAAAGAAGCTTACTGCTTCAAACTGAAACCCAATCTGGCCTTCGAAATGGTCCTTCTCGCCGGTATAGAGCTGGCGAAACACATTGTAAAGTCGTTTAGAATTATGAGACCGGCAACTAAGGTCTTTCTCTAGCGCAATGGCGCGCTCGGTTTCTTGTGCTTCAATGAGTCGAGCCTTTTTATAGATTTCCAGCTCTTGAAATCGATGCGCCGACTTCGCCACAGCCTGCGATTCCGAACAAAAGTGATCCAGCACTTCGAGAAGTCGTACCACTGCCGGGAGTATCTGTCGGGCAAACCAAGTTTGGCGCCGCATCAGGCACAAACACGCTACAAACCATGGTAGCATATCCGATAGCAAAGGGATGTTGAACGAACGAACACTGGCTCGACAAAGCGCCGCCGCGCGGGGGAGAATAAATGACTCTTCTGCCTGAAGGGAAACAATGCTGCTAATTAGATCAGTATATGCGCTCAATGAAAGAAGTCCAAACTGGATGCTTGCTTCCTGGACTTGCAGCCTTCGCTGGAACGCTGCTTTTGATTCGTTCGCGTCCCCAATGTTGTCAAAAGTTCTCTCGATTGTAGTGTCCTTCGTCAGTCCAACAGCTTCCGAAAGTAAGTAAAGCTGGTAAGTCTTCATAAGGTGAATCGCGATATCGGGTAGTCTGTCACGACTTACATCTGCTTCGATTGAGCTCGGGTACGTGTCAGCTGCAAATTCTCGCTCTTGCGCGTTTACCGCAATTTGCATAAGGATCTTAATTGTTTCCGTCACGGCTGATACCCATGCCGCTTTGTCGACCTCGTCAACGCTCGATCCTTTGCGCTTAGCTTCTTCAGCCGCCACAAATGGCATCAGCGTCAATATTCCATCCGGACCAGGAGTGGCAAGCAACTCCATCACTGACGTCAGGACAAAATAACACGCTGGAGTAACGTCCATTGCGCGTGAAACATACAGTCGCAACAGTTGAAGCAGCAATTCCAGCTTCCCGGTCGCGGAAGGATACAAAACGGGTAAGCCTGTCACGATAGTCTGAGCGGCGGCCTTTTCGATATCATCAGTCAAAGTTTGAGGTGCTTCGCGAAGTCGTGTCAGTACCTCCAGCTCGTCTCGCAGGCCAATAAGTAAGTCTATTGACAGGCCTAGTTCTACAGCAGGATCGTTCACATCGTAGCATGTGATACTCTCCAAGTTGGCACAGATTATTCCCAAAATATATACACAACCATCATGCATACGCTTTGCGTTGCCGCTCGAGCGTGCATCGACCCCGCAACGAATGAAGCTCCCATGATATCGTCGGAGCATAGCCAACAACAGGGAAAACACGTCCTTGCTCGGTTGGCGGCAAAACGGCTCCTCAAATTGGATGGAAGGCTTCACAGTAGCAGTACAATTCGAGCCATGCTCATACAAGTTGTAGATTTGCCCAATTATTGTGGTGCCAAGCTCACAGAGCGATTCCGAATCATGGGCGGTATGCCCACCCTCAACAAATGCATGTGGCATTGACTTTTTTGACGCCTCTTCGATCGTGGGAGAATCCACTACTTTCAAGCCTTGGTTGCGATGTCCAGTCGTGCAAATCGCGCATGCATTTGCTGATCCGAGGTTAACGAAATTGCACTTTGAGCAAGCCCACTCTTCGACGGGATGCAAACAAGGGTCAACCCAGATGGCGTGTGCGTGGTGATCAGAACCTTGACAAGACACCCTCATCTCCAGCATGCGTACGTTTCTCACACTAACTTCAAAACGCTCCATGCGGAACATTGTAGACACCGGCTTTGACTGCCACAGCAACTTGGCGTCACCAAAGATCCTGTACACCAAAGCAACCCCATTATCATGGTCATCTTCATCGTGCATAACGTCGTTTACAGCAACCGCACCGCTGACCGTATGATAAGCTTCGGACAAGTCGTAGATAACGTAGGCATCGTCATGCGAAAGCGGGCATGTCGACAAACAGTGCTGCTTATCCTCGCCGTTGATGGAAATCAAAGTGCTTCTCGAAGTCGGTGTGTCGTTGTCCGGAGACGCACTCGTATCCCCATTATCAGCACATCCCAGCTGATTGCTCTTCCCCAACGTTCCGTACCCAACAGAAAAATGGTATTCTCGTATGTTCGATAAAAACACCAGATTCGCGTTAGCTAAGTCGCTAGGGTAGTCCCACTTTGTAACTTCTAACAACGTCACTACTTTTCCCGAGCCGTAAAATGAGACAGCAGGGTGTATTTCGTGTCCAGCAAGATCGTTGAAGACGACGCCATAGTCGGTACTATTAATTTTGTACGCTAGCGTACCTTCACTCATGTCGACATCGACTTGAACAATATCGCCAGGGTGTACTTTACCAATCGTTTGGCTTAGCTTGTGCCCACGAGCATACAGATTGCCGTTATACCCTCGTAACATCCATAAACTGGGTGACGAATCATATCCGTTCACGGTCACAGGAAGAATGGCAGCTCCAAAGCAAGTCATTTCGTCGTCCTGTGTGTCAGCATCAAGACGAAACCTCCACGACGCCTTGCCAGTAGTTATTCCGCAATTCACAGCTGCATATTGGTATCTCGTTTCTCGGGTTCTGACAACAAGACCATCCTGCTCGATAGCTACGCCGGCAGAGCTACTAGATGACTCAAAAACGGCGTCGACGTTGCAAACTTCATCGTGGTCAACCTTTGCTTCGCCGTGCGTCTCCCGCTGCGACCTGTCGTGATGATATGCGTTGATTCCGTTCAGCAAGAGGTGTCCTTGTTCTGACGCAAGCGCTACAACCTGAGACCTAAGAAGTTTCTTTTCGTCGGCATGAAGTTCCAGTAGCATATCGGCAAACAGCAATGTGACATTCAGTGACGCTGTCGATAAAGCCCATGCTCTTAGTGCCTCCAAAGCTTCAGCAATCATGACTTCATTGGCAGTACTTAATGTACCGAGAAGCCAATCGGCAATGGCATTTATTGTTACGATGGGATCTGCAAATAGAGAGCTGGGCGCAGACTTGGTAAGTCGCAAGTGCTCAATCGCGTATGTACCACTACCATTCACTGGCGAAGCACCCGCCATGACAATTCGAGCTTCCCGACAGCACACTGGAACACATGTTTCAATCACCGTAGGTCCGGGCAGCGAGACCGTTCGATCCTTTACTATTTGAACAAAATGATCACTACCCTCAAGACGATACTGAAGACCAACGGTTTGAGGGACGCACTTCATGTGCCAGTGAATAGAGATCGAAGTCGCTTTCGCCAACTCGGTCGTCCTCAGCCCAAAGTACACAGTTCCTGGATTCGATTGCGACTGCCAGTATGTATTGTCCACCCCGTTCACTGCACAATGTGCTTCATGCGCTTCAGAACCTACTGTCTCTGACGACGCGCTTACCGCTTCCTTGCCCAGCGTCAACACTGTTTCTGGTGGTTTCTTCATTGGACTCCAGAACGTGTACAACGAAAGCACGGGGAAGTATGTCAAGAGCTGCGACAGTTCCTTAAACGGTCGCAAGGCTTGCGGGTTCTTGTAATCAAAAGCTCCCAACAACGCGGACAACGTATGGATGGCCAAATGGTGCAACTCTTCGTTGCCTGGCGCTTTTTCCGCCGGGCGCGACATCTTCTTCGCTTTGTCACGACTCATGAGCTCACGGGCAACTTTGACACTGTGCGAAATCACAGCGAGTCGTCTCTCCAGCACGTGCGTATATACTGGCGTGGGTAGGGCCTCAACGAGCATCTCCTCCAATGTCCGAACAGAGCCTTTCTCCATCCCGGACGCGTCCATAACCCCCGCACTCGTCATGTTCATGTAATCTGTCACGCTTTGTCTGCACTTGAGCTTTCTGCTCTTGTGCATTCTATGCTCTGTCGGCAAATCGCCCGCTGTGGTCTCGCCACAAATTATGGACGAGATGAAAGCGTCCTGCAGCACATTGGCCTGCAGCTGGTCAAGATGCTCCTCGCTCTGCAGATACTCATCCCAACTGGTGGCTGACGTGTACTGCAAAGGGGCAGCGCACACGGCGCAGCACTGCGTCCTGCCCGAGTGAAGCCGCGCAGGCTTAGGCATCCACCCGTCTTCGTCGTCGCGAGTGCCCCAGACATCTGCTTCGGCTTGTGGAGCTCCTGAGTGCGCAGTGTGGTCGACAGGCACAGAGGGACCTGCTCCCAGAGCACCCGCTGCAGCGATGAAGCTTTCCACAGCATCGCCTACGAGCGTGGGCTCGAGCTCTTCTTCATCCATTGGTTTTTCTTTCTATCAGTATTTCCCAGAAAGATTTGAGCAGCTATCGAGCCATTGGGTCAGTAACGACGGCATTTGCAGTGCAAGTAGCCAATAAGAACAACAAACGTACGCGCTTCAACTTGCCTTTCGGACACCATCTGTTTTGTTAACGCTCCCCTCACTATGCTGGGCGAGAAGCGGCGGCTAGAAGCGGTTTCTACACATTCTTGCGAGCCGTCGGGTGCGCGGCGGCCACTGCCTTTGCAGCTTTCAAACCCACGGGCGAATCCATAGTCGAGTAGCTGCCTTCGTGAGGTGTCTGATCCACGGCCGAGTAGCGCGACGACGAGCGCTGCACCTGCGAGCGCGACCGAAGGAAATTCTGCGAGCGGGAGACGCGGGCCATGTACGACGGCGCGTTGCGCGTGGCCTCGGCGTCTTTGCGCTTCTTCTTCTCGCTCTTGAGCTCAATAGCGCCGTACTTGGAACTGGCGCACACGAGGAACATGAAGACCGTGAGCAGTAGACACAGTCCGGCGAAGACGAAGTGGCTGATGGCAAAAGACGGCTCAGCGACGTAGATCGCCGCCTGCACGGCGTAGTACACAACAAAGGACATGGTGATGTAGCGTCCGTTCTGGTACGGCGGAAACACCTCGATCGCAGTGAGCCACGTGCCGCACGTAAGACTCAAGGTCCCGCTAACAAAAGCCACGCATACCAAGATCTGCGTCACGGTGCTACCCCCCTCATGATCTGCCAGTCCCAAAGCACCACATGCGACCGATACCGCTGCCGAGAACGGAAGCACATCCTTGAAAATAGTCTTACGCCGCAGATTATCCACCGTGAGCAAACTCAGCGCGGTGCCCACGAAAGTAGTGGTGCCGTAGTAGATTGCCCACTTGGATGTCTGTGCGCCAGCCTGGCTGGGCGTCGGCTGCACGAGGACGCGGTACAGCAATGCGCCGGAAGTGAAAAGTGCAAAAGTCACTTGGAGCACGACCACCAGAACAATTCGGAACATTAAGTTCACACGGCCGTCCTTGACCACGAACGAGTCTTTCATCTCGCTCACTTCCTCCAAAACATCGTGACGCTGGCGCAAGCGAACAAGCGCAGCCTCTGCAGCTTTGGAATCTGTCTTGCGACGGTATTCCCAGTAGTGGCTTTCCGGGAGAAAGAACGCACACGGCACGAGCAGGACGATCGGGATCGCCCCAAAGACAAATTGCCACTGCCAGTCGTGGTACGGCGAATTGTTCCAGTTTTCCGACATAGTCTTGGCGTTGATGTTGTTGGTAAGCACCGACTCAATCATGTAGCCCAGCGCAGCACAAGTAAGGAAGAGTAGTACACCCTTGCCTTTCCAACCTTGCATACAGATTTCAAAGTTGTACAGCGGACACACGAGCGAAAGCATCGCGATGCCGGCTGATGCTAAGCAGATACCGATCAGTGCCATCGAACTCGACTCCAGCCACACAAGCGCACAACCAGCGAAAACTACTGCGCACGAGACCTCGATTGTCCATCGACGGCCGATGACGTGCGCTAGACCGCCGCTCAGGAGGACTCCAGCTGCACCTGCAACTGCAGCGTACACCTTGATCAAACCCAAATCCAACGCGCGGCCAAGCGTCTCGTTGTTGTAGTAAACAAACGACTGGTTTACAAAGTTGTCGGATGACGAGTTCACGTACCCTAGCGAAAAGATCAGGCACGTCAACCAGCCATACGCAAAACCACCCAGGCCGCCCACGACCACGCTCAACGAGGCAGCAAACTCGCTGCCGGAGCCCAGTGCACGTGAAAAACCACCATTGTACATCATTCGAGTCTGTATCGTCTTCATGAACGGGAACGCCGACAGCACCAAAAGCGGGAGTGCCAGGAAGAGACCGACTACCACGTCGAAGAGAAACGCAAGTTCACGCACGAGACCCCACTTAGCAACGGGTAGTCCAAATAACCCGTGCATCAGTTGCAGGTAGTGCAGAAGCGAGAAAAGTCCAGCGAACATGGACACCGTCACCGAGAAACATTGGATACCGTCCCAATCTTGCGTAGAGCCCACGATGAACGGCGACAGAGCAACCAGCACCACCATCAACACGTACAAAATGGCGCGCGGGACACGAGCCTTGTTGCGCAGACACATCCCTATACAAAAGCCGCCAATCCACAACAGAACGGCAATAGCACCAACGCCCGCCAACAACATTCCAATGTCGCTGAGGTTAAACGAGTAGATGAAGATGTAGTACATCACCAGCGGATGGCGGAGTTCGCGAATGGCGTAGACAAAGCGACTCATCGGACCAACTGGGTACATGAGATTGGCTTCGTAGTCGTAAAAGTCGTTCCAAGTGTCTGTCGAGCCCAACTGATTGCCACTTATGTTGTTCAGCAGCACTCGTTCGTCGTCGTTTTCCTCCTTTACCGACATGAGCCACGAGAGCCAGTAGGTTACATCCACTCGTGTTTTCGAGAAATCCAGGCCATCTGTGTTGAACAGAAACGGCGCAAGGAGCCAGCACGTGCCAAGCAACCATACAGCAAACGAAGCGATGCCGTAGTCCTGACCCTTCGAGCTGTACGAGTCCAAAAGCGTGATGTTCGATGGAATCAGGTCCGGCTTTGCGTCGCAGTCAAAGTCCGCGGTAGCACAGTACTCTGACAGCACATTCGTACCAATGTTGAAGTTGCCGAATATACCAAAGATGATCATCAGACCCACCAGTTCCACAGCCTTGCGGTAGTGCGAGGCAGCATACTCCTTGTAAAAGTTTACCATCGTTTCACGAACGATAGCAAAGCCACGACCCGTACCACGGTACTTCGACCCACCACGCATAATGGCGATGTCATAAAAGTGCGACTTTGTACCCGTCTCGAAGATGTAGAATACTGGACCGAGAGTCACAACCAGCTCCACGAAGTTGACAACCGCCTGATGCCACCCGTACTCGACAAAAAGCGTGGCAATCAAAGGAATGGTCATTAGCATACCAAACTGGAAGATGAACTGCGTATTCATCACCTCTGCCAAATCGTCCAAATAGTTCGTCGTGATAATGGCAGACTCTTCGATTTCTTGGTGCAGCACGATATAAACTTTGCCGTACGCGTACGCGAACACACACAGCACCACCAGTGCGTTACAAATATAAAAACCCATGTGACCGTAGAACATAGAGTTCAAGCGGAAGAAATCCATACCAGCGCCCATTCGGTGCGACTCGCGACTTAACGAGCTCTCGGCGCTACCGTTCGACAGCTTGGCTTCGAAAGCGTTGATTTGACTCAAGGTCACGTCACGACCCTTGCCGCACTGCATAAACTCTTGGTGAGTAACCTTCTCGCCACGCAGTGCCACATTATAGCCTGCAAACACATCCTCGGACAAATTGATGCCCTTACTGGCCTTCGACACGCCACCATTAGACATGATAAACGACTTCTCAAACACGTCCGGGTGGCCGTAGTGCATACGGCTCTGAAGAGGGTTGGCCAGCACGCGCTGCGTCAGACTCACGAAGACCAACTCTTGCAACGTCATGAAATGTGCCAGTGACGATGCTCGACCGGTGAAAATATGTTCTTTCATACCGATAATGGTAACATCTTGTCCGTTTGCAGTAGCAGTTGCTAAGAAGTTCGGGATCTTGAGAGCTTCTTCAAAGTAGTGCTCCTGATTCATATCGATCGTTTGCACGTACTCACCACGAGTGAAAGGGAGAGCAATGTTCTGATTCTCCGGCTTACCCTCTCCAACCATTGGATTGCCAGGCAGCTCATAACGGTACACTTCGACGATCTCATCACCATCCGACTTGACCAGTACACAATCAAACCGAGGTTCTGTATTGTTTCCGGAAGGATCGCGGATAGTATCGACGTAGCTCACCCGCCAATTCGGGTACTTGCGCATCAGCAAGTCGATATCCGCAGCACGCGAATCTCCTGCCGCAAGCTGATCGGCGTAAATCTGACAACTCGTCACATACGAGAACTTCAAACCTGCAATGCGATCCATATGCTTGATCTTTTCCAAGTGGGAGATGTTCTCGTCCGAACCGATCTCCAGCCACCGCAACATCTTCAGCGCATCTTCGTACATCATCATGCCATGTACCGTGCGTGCTAGTGTTTGTCCACGCATCGATGCCCAAAGGCGGACTTGCGTCGGCGTCTCAGCCAGAGCCTCGTCCATGGAAGCCACGCCCACGCGCTCAAGGAAGTTGCCCCATTCGTCGTCGTGGAATGTGATCAAATACTTCAAAATACTGAGATCACGACCCTTCTGCTCCACCTTGCGGAAAAGCGGATTCGAGTCCACACGCTCGTTGAGCTCGTCGATCGAAAAAAGCACCGTTTCGTTGTAGTACGGCGTGACCACGGAAAATGACTTCATCGCCGCAATTGAGTCAATGGTCGGGATCTTCATGTGCAACGAGTTGAGGAAGAAACTCATTCGGCGCTGGGCTTCGTGGCAGCGGGGCAGCGCATCCGCAGCGTCCAACGTCAGCAAAAAAAACAGGCGCGTGGAGAGCGACACCACGCTCTCATTCGAACCCGGTGACGTCGTGCGCGCTGGTGAGTTGGAATCGCGCTGGCTAATGCGGTCCGTAAATATCGACACCAGCTGTTCCTTCTGGTAGGTAAGATCAGGCGTCACCTGAGCGAACGCTGACTTGCGCAGCTTTTCTGCCATCGGCTCCTGCTCCAGCATGAGTTCAATGCTCTTCAACAGAGCATCCAAACGCTGCACAATGACCAACGCCTGCTCGTGCGGAAGGTCGAAAGTGCTACCACTAGGTACCACCGTTGGCTCCGGTAGATCCAAGATGCTTGCAAGCAAATCGACGACGTTTTCACGCACCAACCCAACGTGAGTAAGGTCCACGACACCGCTGACCTTTCCTCCAGTCAAGATCTGACGAAACAAGCCGATCAATTCTGAGTCCTGGGGACCCAAAAGCTGTCGCAAAATCTGGAACAAGACGTCGATACAATTATTCGCGCAGCCTAATACCCCAGCCCGCTTCAATTCTGCAAACAATTGGGCATCGCTCATTCGTTTGGTTTTTGCCCGTGCAGCAATATCAGCAGCCGCTTGTGCCTCGCCAGCGATCAAGAAGACAGGCTCTTCGACAGCACCCGTGTCCGAAATTTGGTAATGCAAAATGGCAGTCTCACGGTCATCCAACAAGTCGGACAAACGAAAGCTGCTTACAATCTCATTCCACACCACAGCAAAGCGCAAACGGCTGTTTGCATCAGGGGCAATAGAGCTAGACGAGAGCGGGTTATTATTGATCGCGAGCTGGCCGCGGGCCGCTGCAGACACCACTTTCGCGTCAAAGAGTGCAGGTGCCTCGTGCAGACGCGTGACAAACTCCTTAATGCGGGCCGAGTGACCGATTTTCAGACGGAAACCAATCCATGCGCCCACTATAGCCTGTGCAATCGCAAGCCAAATCTGCGAATCGTAGATGTACACGAGAACCACTGGTGTCCACATAGCCGCAAGAAACGCAATGTTGTGATTCGACTCAATCAGACCATTCTCAGCTTGAGCGGCAGAAATGTCGACACTATAAATTTCGACGCTCGGCCCAATCAGAGGCTTGACCATGAGCTGCAGATTGAACAAAAACTTGCACACAAAAATGACCGTCCAAAACGTCCCATAGCCCAGAAAATCTCCCCAGCTCTGGCCCATCTCGCGACCAATGTATTGCTCGCGTGTTCCATCGAGCGAGTTGAGAATCGTGGATTTCCAAATCACTCGTCGGAAGAACATCTGCACGATAGACACGACCAGAATCGGCGCCATGTACACAGCAATAAGCATGGGCGCCGTCGTGATCAAGTCGCTCGAGCCAATGAGCGTCGAATACGGAGCGGCATTCACGGCTGTAAAGAGGCCAAAGAACACCGTGTGCCACACGAGCCGGACAAACACCGACACGGCGTACAGCACACAGCTAAAGATGCGCGTGCAGTCGAGCCACACGTCCAGCACAACCTTGAGCGCCAGCATACCACTGACCGTCATCAAGATCGAGTAGAACGCGTGATTGCGAATATCGTCGATATCGGGCGTGAAAAAGTTGGCGTAAAACTCAACGCCCGCCGTGTCGTCGGGATCCGAGCGGTACGCGACATACGCAATCACCACGAGCACGTGCAGCATGACCGCCAAGAAAAAGTAAATGCGAAAGAACGCGAGCATCGGGTTGCAGAAGCTCCGCCGTTCCTTGAACGTCTTAAAGTTCGGCTGGTTCACGGCTTCGGCTACCGAGAACTCGTCAAAGCAGAGACACGTTTCCGTCCAGAAAAACTCATTCACGTCGTCGTAGTTCGTCACGTGCTGGTGGTCCACTGCCGCGCCGTTTTTCTTGAGCGTCTTGTCGCGCATCTTGGCCACAACTGCGTACAGCGGGCGCACAATGCGGCACAAGAACGTGCCTTCAGCTGCGTTCGGCAAGTGCTCGAGGCCGTCGAGCTTGGCGGCCATTTTGTGGTACACAAAGCACAGGCACTCGGGCATGAAGCGCAAGTTGGCGCTCTCGCCCCAAATGAGCAGAAACAGCGCAATCTGCCGCTCGGCCGCGTCCGGATACGGCGCCGTGTCGAGCTGAAACGGCTGCGTGCGGAGGAACTCGCACCACTTGACGTAGTTGCGGAAAAACTTGGCATGGATCGCTGCAACGGCTGCAGCCGTGTCCTGCGGCGTCACGGGCCCCGCGAGCAGCCGCGACTCGTAGTTGAGCAGCCACACCTCAAAGTGCTCCTTCTGGTTGCGCACGTTGCCGTCTTGGAAGCCAAACTTGGCCTGCAGGAGCTCGAACGCGCCCGAGCGCGACGCGGGCGACTGCTTGGCCGCCACCGGCACGTGGCCAGCGGCCGCACCGCGTCGTGCAGCCACGTCTTCGACCGTCTGGTAGTTGGACGCCGCGCGGCGACGGGGCGGCGGCTGCGGCGGCTGCGGCTGGAGACTGCCCGACTTGTCCTTCTTCATCAGACTGCGCGGCGACACACGGAGCAGAGAGAGAGAGAGAGAGAGAGAGAGAGAGAGAGAGAGAGAGCGCGCGCGCGCGAGTCCGTCTGATCGGCTGAATGTATGGGGTGCGTCGGCCTGCGAACAAGCGACGGCGGACGAGCGCGTGTGGCTATCGGTCTGTCAGTCTGTGACTGTGGCTGGGGCGGTGTCTGAGTCGGAGGCTGAGGCTGTGTGCGCGTACGGTGAAGCAGCGCGCAGGGCGGGCGGGCAATGGGCAATAAGGTCAACGGCGCTCTTTGCTCGCGTGCGACCAGTGCGGAACGACAGTGCGCGCGCGCTCTGCAGTCTCTTTCCGTTTCCCTTTCCGTCAGTCACGAACGTCGAGCAGAATGCTCCCGAGGGCTGGCGACCCCGACCCCTAGCCGTTCGTTGACCGCGCCCGGTTGTCCGCAGCGCGCACGCGCGCGACGAAATTTTGGTCGCAAACGTCTTGACGTTTGTATGCCGTGGACGCGCTGGTCGACGGGCGCGCTGGCTCTCTTTACCAGAGCCACAGGACAGTGGTATCGAGCGTGCAAGTAAGTGATCGCCGATCCAGTCGGACTTCGATCTGCGAACATGGCCACACACGTTTTGTATGCGACAAGGAGAGCCAGCGGGGGATAGGCGGGGGAAACGCCACCGAAGGGTTTCCCCTCGCGTGACTTGGGCGACCACAACGACCCGACCGACAACGACATCGCGTGACTCGGGACTGGTCCTTCTGTTCTACCGCTTATACCTGTGCACAAGCGCACGCTCACAGACTCGACAACTGCTGTTCTGGTCCCGCCCCCGCCGGCTGTTTCGAACGGCTGGCTACAAAGTCGCGCGTTTCCTGCGCGTCTGCTCGTACTACAACCAGTCGACGGCGGGAGAGCTTCTGCAAACGCACTGCCCCGCAGGAAGTCGAATCTCGTCCAGTCGGTTGCTGGAAGAGCACGACCGAGCGCCGGTATGTCGACCGTTGGTGTAAAGTTTGCTGCTGGCGATCTCGAGAGCCAAGTGAAGGAAGTGTACGTCCTGTGAGATGTGAACGACTGGGTGGGGACTTTGACGAGCGTCAACGGTTCAACGTGAACATTAGCGAAACGGGTTCGAGTACAGGTGACCTGTAGCTGTGTGCGTTCGGTTAGCGATTGCAGCGCCAAATGGTGCGGGACCAAAAAAGTCTGCTGCGCTATACCGGCCCCTCCCTCCGTTTGGCACTTTTCCGCTTGAAATGTCGATGTTCGCTTCTTGGGCGGCGCAAGCGCCTTCCACATTGCACGAAGAACAGTGTGTACTACTGGGAGGAGGCGACGCTCCTGCACTTTTGTCCATGTTTGTTTACAGCGAGTCGATGTAACGCTACGTTGGACACCTCTAGCTTAGGAGACTCTGGCTGAGCACGTAACGAAGATCATATCGATCTCTTGTCACGATACAGGGAACTGCCGCACAGAGTGCGCCAGGTTTTGCTGGTGGACAAGAGGCGGAATACTTTAGGCAGAACCATTTACAAGGGCGGCCTACAGTAGTGACTTCTTCGACTCCAATCATTTTCTGTCGCAATCGAAACGAGGGGACACAATTTGTGATCCATACGTTTGCATCTAAGGAACGGGTTCGATAGTTGTTAGTTGTAACACACTACCTGGTGTGTACATGGTGTTAAGCGTATGTTTAGCCAGCGTTTGCTGTGCTAGCGTTTGTCTCGCTGGCATTCTACAAATAGAGGTCACGGGGCTGTGCGTGAGCTACAGCACCCGGTGTCTCAGTCCTATGTACCTATCATAAGTAGACCCGAGCACAATCTACTGTTCAATGAGCACTGAGACATCATCTATCGATGGAACCTACGTTTTGCATGTACGAATGCTTGTTCCGTCCATCGGAATGATCCAAAGAGTTATACAGCGTTTGCGCTTTGGTTTCGAACGACGTCTCTCCGACTTCATGTTGTCTTAGCTGACATAACGTACTACTGCGCAACCGTTCTGCATAGTGCAGTATTTCAGTGTCTACTACCTTGAGACCTCTTTACGGAAACGCAGTCCACTCAATGCCATCTTGTAACTAGCTGAGCCGCTGTCGCAACTCATTGTTTGTACTCCTGCAAGGTAGCCAGACGAACGAGAACTTGACCCAACATTGACAGTGGTGTCACGAGCAGTAGATGCGACTGACGTGAAGCGACGGACTCGACGTGACATCCAGGGCAACCCGTTGAGAAAGAGATCAACTTTTGTCCATTCTTACACGTGTTCGTCCATCCTTGCTGTATCGTATATTGATATCTGTACCCGAGTGCACATGTGCCGCATTGATTGCCCTCTGCTAGAATCGATTGCAAAGGTCGCTTTGTCGTTGCGAATGCGCTTGATTGGCCTCGATGGACTTTGACTTGCCATAGGCTTCGTTTGGCCTATCGAACGTGTACGTGCCCGAACGATGACCTGATCTGCATGATATACCCACCGAGACAAAAGTGCTCACAGTCGACTGAACAGCAAGAACTTGATCAAGGGCGTCTTAAAAGACACTCAATATCGCAGACCTGTTGATCCTCTTCTCACGATCGATACATTAGCGTCTGCATGCAGATCAGCGACGACTCATCACCTAACGGCAGGACAAAGATAGCAGTCACCGAAGCTTATGCATTGTGATATAAATGAGAGCCTTGGTACACCGTAAGGCATCCACTGGTGATTGAGCTGATGACTTTCCAGAAAGAGGTTGAGACTCGTTCATGTCGATTGGCTTGACCCGACCCGTTGCTCAATGTGAACATATATGGCACATAGCTATCGTATTCTTGACAGCAACTGCAGACGCGGCGCCTCGTGCCACTGCACGAAACAGTCAACTTCATGTTTATCCATGACTTGTTGATACCGGACAAGGTCGACGTTGCTCACATGTTCACATAGAGCTATGTTACGATATGCTGCAACCCATAGCCTCTACACAAATTCATCGCACATTCGCGCCGGATACGCTTTCACGCAGATTAGAGTGACGGAGAGCAGCTGTCGTATGGTACAAACGCGACTATCTTCTGCCATAAGGACGTGAAAGAGAATGGGAAGTGTAGTCTTGACAGAATGTGGTCTTGACAAATTATAGTCGAGCATTTCGGCTTCTTTGATCCAGCTGTTCCACCTGGCTTTGAATCGACGAAAGACACGTATCATCGATAAGCATTCTGCATGTACTCGGGCACACAGTTACACAAGTGCTAGCAAAGGCATACTGAGCTGAGGCACTACACGACGAGACTCAAATCAGCGATTGACTCCCAATCATGCTGGCCAGTACAACATCGCCGAGCCATGACAGATGCGAAGCAACATCGGTAGCGGACTAGTTTGCCTCGGCCCATCGAGCTGCTCGATCCGCTATTGCGTGGATTACCTGTACAGCTTCAGCATAAACACGTGATTGTGTCGGAGCTCTTCTCCCCTTAGAACGTTTGATTTCCTGCAGCTCAGCCATCCGACGCAACCGCACGTCATGATAGCGCAATGGTCTGGTTAGATGGCATGTAAGCGCGACTGTTCAGACCGTCTTGCTTGAAGTTAAACACTTGATCAGGGGAATAGGGAGCTAGTGGACTTAACGTGGGCAGCCTACTAACCATCGTCATGTGCACGTACTTGGTCACAAACAGATACTGCTGGTGCGTCGGCTTGTTCTTGTTATGGGCCATAGGTGGATCTGGCAAAGCGATCAATAGCGTTGGGCTCACATTTGCGTGGCTCGTCGAACACCGGGTCATTTCTGAGCGTTGATGTGCATCAAACTGCACAGCGAAAAGAATCCAGAAACCGCACCTCACTTGTCGAAGAAGGATACGACCGTGAGACAAAGTGCTGAGGGAACCCAAGTGACGACTGTCGTCGAAAATAGAGGAACGCGTGTTGCGTTTGATGTACATGTGGACAATTACGCCATACAAATGAAGGCATGCTCTGCTCCTTTTCCTGTCGTCACGTGGTATACTGAGGATAATGCCCCTCTCTTCCCTAGAGTGAACTATCGACGCCAAACTATCTGCAGAAGTAGGTTTGTCTGTGCTCGCCACGTCAGAACATACGCAGCGAGTACCCCCCCATGACCAAGTGGTGATTTTACGATCAAGTAGGGACTTCAAAGGCTCGCAACTAGTGCAGCTGGTTGAGCGTGGTACAAGTATGCGTGAATACGACAACTTTGGTTTACAATACCGAGAGCATCAATAGTACGAGCGCTCACACTGAGCAGAAGGAAAGGTATGGAACGATAATCATCATTTGCAATGTAAAGCCATTACCAGCGGCTGCTTCGATCTCGATTGCGTTTGTCTTCCTGTTCTGACACCATGTTGAGCAGCGTAGCATTCGGTTGGCCCATCCAGAAGACCGGATGCTGTCAACCCAGGGTCTTATCGATTTGGTGACAACAGCGCTGTCTCGTATACGACGACTGTACGGTAGACAAGGAAGAGATCCGGCGTAAACTTGAGTGAAACCACCGGAGTGATCGGTTAGCGACAGACCGCGAGCCGGCTGTTCCGAGTGTTTGCACCTTGCGAAATTGGCGGCAATCCACGTCGATGTCACATCGACGACATTCTTGCGCTATAAATATGCTTTCCTGTTTTCCTGCTGCACACCTTTTGCGTTGTCTTGAGGTTCAGCCATACGCTCGTCTATCACAACTCGGTACTGCCCTGACCAACGCGGGCTCTACAACCCGAGCTGATCACTAGGTACAGGTTGGTTCGCGCTGGCTATTGCGTAGCTGTTTTACGCCACAGCACGAGCGACTCCGTACGTTGCTGACGGAACCTGAGAGCTACGCAGAATCGGATCTTTCCGATGCGTTCGAGGGTCTTTTACATCGCTTTGAGCGGTGGTCTACGTCGCTGCAAGACGTGGTGTGGCTTCAGCAGGGTTTTTATCCAGCCGTAGCTCGGCTGTGTCCGGTTTATCGGGATGGAGGGCTTCTAGTGGCCTTGTTTTGGTCAAAAGGGAATTCAAACCGGAAAGTTGACAATGGGACCGGTTGGTACCTACTTAAGGCACTAGGTGGAAACCCCTAAGCAGGACGTCTTCGTGCGGTTCACACGCCATCGTATGCATGCGCGTCTGGTATTGAGCCCCATCTGCAAGTTGTCCATACTTGTGCAAAAGCCATTTAACTCGTGCTTGTGCAAGGTATACTGGCGGTATGAGCTTGAATGGGAACGGGCCGATCAATGCTCCTCAACCGATGTGGCCAAAGGCCCTGATTGCGGGTCGTAGAAGTCAAAGTCGCTTGATGCAATGCGCTCCTGCCGTTTCAATTGTGCAGCAACTATGATCTGCTATGGCCGTGCTCTTGTTGAGCTTATTGGTGAAGTGTTCAAGAAGCACAGTCTCTCTTCTTCTTCTTCTTGCCCATGACGTCGCGCAAGTTTTGCCACTGTTATTTCGTGTCGGTTGTCACCATTGCATACCGAAGAGACTGGTACGGCTACTTGCTCGCATCGTGGGTCCAGGTGTCGCACGACTGCGCTTCTCTCTATTCCCAAATTTTCACGGTTCAGCTCAAGCCAGTCTTTTTCCCTTCGGGGCATTCACGTCGGAGGGAATCCTCCCCTTGGGGAGCCGACGTGGTCGAAGATCTGACGCGGGCACGCTGCACTCGCAGTCGCGGGTGTGGGCGTAGGAGACCGACGGGTCGCGCAAGCGGCCCTAGCAGGGGTGTTTTACGGACTGGAGGCGTATCCCGCGCCACGTGTCGCCGCTGCGGCGAGCGCACACTCCACGTCAAGGGGCCGCGCAAGCGGCTGAAGGGGGCCACCATCGCAGATGGTTGAGCTCCTCGGAGAGATATACGGCGGGTTGGCGTTCTCCACGCCACGCAGTCACTTCGGTGATCGCACTCCACGTCGGGGGCCGCGCAAGCGGCTGAAGGGAGCCACCATCGCAGATGGTTGAGCTCCTCGGAGAGATATATGGCGGGTTGGCGTTCTCCACGCCACGCAGTCACTTCGGTGTTCGCACTCCACGTCGGGGGCCGCGCAAGCGGTCCTAAAGGGGTTTGTTGCCTTATATGGCAGCATACCCGCGTTGTACGTGCTGCCGCTCCGGCGGTACGCATGTCCCCAGTCTACTTGGTCGCGCCAGCGGTCATGATTGACTCGTAGTTGGCTTCGGTAGGAGGGTCTCTGACCTCGTTGCCGTCGCCCCTGGCTCTACGGAGCCCTTTAGTTGTCGACCCGATACCCGGGCCGTACTTCTTGTCACACTTATCAGTCGTTAGTTATCATAATAATGGACGTACTTGACACCACCACCAGTTTCCCTAGAGTGGTTGCAGTTGATACAGTTGCAAGCTTAACCGGAGTCATCTTATGCAAAGTCAAGACATCAACACTGTCTGCACACAGTTGGCAGGCGCTGCCTCATTTAAGCTGTCGTCTTCGCTGCCGCTTTTCTCCTCCTCAGCTGCACAGGGCAGTGATGCACCAAGAGCGCTAGAAACTCAGGCTCGCATCGGTCTCGCGTCCGATGATGGTCTTCAGTCCAGCCGATACCTCGCCTCACCTCGTTTCGACACCCGCCACAAATGTATGCGCATCCAGCGCTTCTTTTCTAGCTCATTAGGTTCAGACAGCTTGCATGGAACTCCATGGAAACCGTGAGGTATCACATTTCTCGCGCCAATTCCGCTCAGGGTGCTCGCAGCTGAACAGCCAGTTGATTTGCTGCGGCGCAAAGGCGCTGCAGCCAGGCGTCGGGTCCCGGACCTCTTGGGAAACGAAGATTTGGAGGCTCTGATTCGAGTCGTGTTCAACCAGAGATTGTAGCGAGTTGGGCACCGTCAGCAGTGCATGACATCGTATGTGTGCTGACGAGCAATCGCTGTAGTGACTTGCAGCTCTGAACCACACGCGCACGAAGAGACCTTGCAATGTGGATCAGGATGGGTGCGAAGAAAAACTGACGTTGCGGTGCGGTGTTTGGCAACCTCAAGCTACAGCACTTCTGGTCCGGGTATTCCATACGAGGAGGCGTACGAAAGCAACTGGCTACCGATCAGATTTTCCCGCGGTCATCCGGCGCTCACGACCTCCTCCACTCAAAAATGGGACGAAGACGTCGCTATCCAAGTTGCAAAGACGACGTCGACCGATTTGTACATCGTCGGGCCTGTCAAATGAAGAGCAGTCTTGTCCAACGCTGCGACACAAACGTGTCCTCAGCATCGCTGACAACCCGTGCGCGTCGTTCACTTCTGTTTCAGCACTCAATTGCCCTGTACTCTGCCCGCTGTACATCTCGAAATAAAGCTATGCGATCGTTCTACCTCTTCGCGCTCTGCATGATCGGTGTGCCGCTGGTCTGTGCTGATCTGGTCTCGACATCCACGGAGCTAGAGGTCATGACACCTGGTGCTCGTGCACTCGAGCACAAAAATACCGAGGGACCGTTGACGACTCTTGCTCTGGACGAGAAGGGACTCGAAGACCGGGCGTATCCTTCCGCAAGTGTTGTCGACAAGCTGGTGAATATGTTCAAGTCTATCGGGGCCAAGATTGGTGCCATCTTCGCTCCTTTGTACGAATGGATTAAGAACAAGAAGTATTTGGACGAGGTGTCACGGACCGTTAGCGAGAAGCTCGATTTAAAGCTGCGCACAGTCGGCAAATCGCTACGAACCCCGATTGACTTATACGGACGGACGGGGTTGGACAGTTTGTTCTCCGTGAGAGGTCCTATCTCCTTATTTGAGGACCATAGGACAGAGGCCAAAGACTTTCCCATTAGTGCCATCGTAGACTTTCTTCGAACCTTCTTGACTGAGAAAGAGGTGGCATTTTTGATCCAGTACGCAAAGGGATCACTGGAGATTGCGGAAAGGCTCGAGGATTTCCAGTTCAGACAGTGGCAAGTGTATTCTGTAAATACTCCTAAAGCGGTTCAGAAGATGTTGATGGAGGCTGTTCCAGTGCGGTCTGGCGATGCAAAGTACGTGAAGCGTATCATAACCAGCTACAGGCGGTACAATCGTCTGCATCCGCTGCCTGAGACTGCAAAATACACAGGACTAAAAATACACAACTGATGCATTGCTTTCAATTTGTTGTGTCTTGTCGCTGGAAGCATCCGCACGCGGTCCTTTTGCTCATCTCACAGCCTTACAGACAAAAAGGCTCATCGTTCACTCAAGACTCAACAACTTACAACCTCACATCAAAAATCATGTCCTGAAGATGTGGCAGAATTGCGACACCTGCTTCTTCGACAACTGCGCGCCGTCGAGATCAAGGACCAACGTCATGGCAGATATAGTACCAGTAGCATCTTCTTCCGCCTAGCAATGGAAATGTTCCAGGGAACTACCTCACAGCAGCAGACGGTAAGCGACAGCCTCGGTAGGCAATAGGGATCATCTCGTACAGTCCCAGACAGGCTGAGGGTGTTTCAGAAATCTTGAAAGCCGTAAAGGTAAATAGACAGTCGGATTCTCATCATCACCATAATAACATTATGTATTCACGCAGATTACAAAGTCCTTCGAGTCGTGCAATGTACGATTCGAACGGGCCCTGCACGATTCGAATGGGGCGTGCAGATAGCGCACATTCCCGGGGGTACATCACTTCTACAACGGTCCCAAAATCGGGACCGAAACAACTTTTGTGAGCAGTTTCGAAGAGATTAGGAGTGAATATGGTATTGGCTGAATCGAACTCTACGCTAATCTATCGGTTTCTGTGCACTCTGCGCCTGCGGTGGAAGCAGACAGGACTTTTACTGCCACTCATAGCACTAACGCAGAGCAAAAGCCGCCTACGATCATCCCGTCGCCTCTTGTCACACACATTACGGCAAGATCAAAGACAGAAGAACCATGCACCAACAGAGTCAAGACAATGCCAGTTGATGCTATCAGCAACAAAGCACATTCTGTGCCGGGCCGGTTTTACGCTAGTCCTTGTATTTCATGTCGTCTTCGCTGAAGCCAATGGTCGGGAACTGCCGGACAAATGCAGTCACGTTGCGCTTCAGCTCGTCCATCTTCTCCATAGCCTTTGCGTCATCCACAACAAACGCCTTAAAGTCCTTCACTTTCGTCACACCCTGGGCGCGAGCATGCTCGTTCAGCTCTGCTGTCAGCGTCACGCCTTCGTCCAGGAAAGCAGCCACCTGCTCGAAGTCTTCCTCAGTGCAACCGCGCGTGGTCAGTGCAGGCGCGCCCAGCCGAATGCCACCCGGAACGAAAGCGCTCTTGTCACCAGGCACTGTGTTTTTGTTCACAACCATGTTGGTGCTCTCGAGCACAAACTCAACGCGAGCGCCATCCACACCGCGCGACTTCTTCACGTCCACCAGAGCCAAGTGGTTGTCCGTGCCGTTCGAGACAATCACATAGCCACGCTTCGTCAGCTCAGCCACTAATGCACGAGAGTTTGCAATCACCTGCGACTGGTACGCCTTGAACTCGGGGCTTTGAGCTTGTAGCAGGGCCGTACTCAACGCAGCAATCGTATGGTTGTGCGGCCCACCCTGAAGACCCGGAAACACGGCAAAGTCAATCTTCTGCTGCAGGTCGTACATGACGTCCTTCCCGCTCTTTTTGTCCACGTGATGCAGACCCTTTCGGTAAAAGATCATGGCTCCACGCGGGCCACGAAGCGACTTGTGGGTCGTCGTGGTCACCACGTCCGCGTATTCAAACGGCGAAGGCACCACACCAGCCGCTACCAAACCGCTAATGTGGGCGATATCGGCAAGCAGTACAGCATCCTGCTGGTCACAGATCTCACGCATTCGCGCGTACTCAATGTGACGCGAGTACGCACTAGTACCTGCAATAATGAGCTTCGGTCGGAACAGCGCGGCCGTCTTCTCGAGGCCGTCGTAGTCAATGAGACCCGTGGTTTCGTCCAGACGGTACGGCATGCTCTCAAAGTAGATCGACGTGGCCGAGATCTTCTTCCGCCCAAGCTGGTACCCGTGCGACAAGTGGCCACCGTGCGGCAAATCCAGCGCCATGATCCGGTCGTGGGGGTTCAGCAGAGCAGTGTACACTTGGAAGTTCGCGGGGGAGCCGGACAGCGACTGGACGTTGACTCCCCACTGCTCGGGGTCCAACCCAAACGCCTCGAGCGCACGCGCGCGACAGAGCTCTTCGGCCTGGTCGATGATCTGGTTGCCACCATAGTATCGCTGGCCTGGATAGCCCTCCGAGTACTTGTTCGACATGACAGAGCCCAGCGCATCCAGCACTGCTACGGACGTGCAGTTTTCAGACGCAATGAGGCTGATGCAGTTCCGCTGACGCTGCTTCTCGCGCTCAATGATGTCAAAAAGCACAGGGTCCATAGACGACAGCGGTTGGTTCAAGGCAGTGGCCCATTGCAGACTCTCGGTCGAGGCAAAACGACGTGCTAGAAACACTGCGCGACGGCGAACTGGGGCGCGCAGGCAATTGATCATCACGTGAGTCGGACGGAGCAACTGAAGGAATGGCTCCGACGTCAGCCGGCCTTGAAGATGGGTCGGGAGCTCCACAGAGTCGGTACATCGCAGCGTCGGTCATGGCCGAATAGCGGTCGAGCTGTTGCGTGCATAAACAGGGACGTCTCCACCCTCCTCCATAGAAAAACAAGGTCACGTTGGACAATACCTGTAGCTCTCCAAGCGCTCGCTCGACTGGGCGCTCATCACGGGCTCTCGTCTCCGCCAATCAAAAAATGTTTGGATGCCCCCGTCGTCCGTGCAATTGATTACGCTACTGAGGTGCTGCACGCACATGTCATGTGCGACGATCACGAGGCCGACCGGCTACTTGCAGTTACTTCAGGCTGCCACCATCACGGCCCCGCACGATTGTCCACACGTCGATTCGGTCACTGGCGTACGTGGGATGCAAACTTGATACAGGTACACGCGTGCTAATGAGGTCATAGCGCGCTAGTTCACTGAACAGCAGCCGATCCGACAGTACGCTGCGTTTCTGGTACGACATGAGGATCTCTGTCTTCACGGACGAATGCCGCAGCAACGTGTCAAAGGTCGCCACTAGCGGCGCAATGAGCTCCTCGATCCACACGACGTCAGACGCCAGCAACAAGTCAATGTCTCCTACATCCGTCGGCGGATCGAACCAGTCGAGCACGCGAGTCGAGACGTCGCTCTCCACTGGTCGCCCAGCGCTAGCCGCCAGCTTCATCGTGTCGGCGACATTCTCGGCAAGATTCTCGACCGCGTAGTTTAGATCCGATAGAATCACTTGTCGAGCTCCAAGCAGCGCCGCCGCAATCCCCACCAGTCCTGTGCCAGCACCCAGCTCGACCACTCGGCTGCCAGCTACGTCCTCGCGACGCTGGTGTTCCAAGTACTTGGCGAGTACCACCGATCCGTCCCACAACGTCAGTCCCGTGCCTTTGCCCGAGTTCCCCACCTCTTTAATTGATACCACATGTCCATCAATTGTAAACGTGTCGTCTCCCGCAGTGTCGAGCCCAAACATTCGCGATGGTAATGCGAGACAAGTGCGTTCGGGGAAGAGCTCGTCCATGTTTGTCAACGTGACACTTAGTCTTGAGTAGCGTCCGAGCTGCGACAAGTCCTTCAGCGGCGCGTACTGCTGCTTTTCCTGCTCGTAAACCTCAATCGTCATGGCCAAAGCTGCTGCCATCTGTCCATTTGCTACGCTCGCTGTGAAGCGTTCGGTCAACTGCTGCTCAAGTACGTCCTGCAGCTCATCGAGCGAAGCTGGACGGGAAGCCAATTGCAGTCGCAATGGACTTTGGAGTGCTTCTGGTAGCCCAAGTTGTTGCTGGAAGTCCACGCGGAGCAGCAATGGCACCGACGGTGATGCCATTGGGAGAGAAACGATGACGAGCGACAGCGTCAAGTGACGCAGTATCTTCGATACGCGTGCCATGACGTCGAGCACACCAATGCCACACAAGTTCGCTTGCGTTCGAAAGGGGAGTAGGTATGCTACAGTAGAACCGTTTACACAACCTTCAACGTCACCTGCCAATCAACACCAACTCACATGTCACCAGACGTTGCAACAGCATCAAGGACAACGCACTCGATTCACAGCTACCCCAAAGTCACTACTATCTCAATACATCATCCCCAGTCTTCTCGGGATCTTCCTGTACTCAAAGCAAAACCCAACCGGTGTCTGCTCGTCGCGCAATAACACAAGCATCCCTACGCTTCGAGCGCGTGACGCAGTACTATCAGCATCAGAGCGTGCAGAAAGCGCGACGTGCCCAGCCTGACTTTTCGCAGAAAGCGCGACAAGTCCAGCATTGCACTTTATGCGGCACTTCGGTGACAGCGTACACACAGATTGTCGATTCTATGGGCACAGGACACCAAACGAAAGGGTGACATGACCCTCAGCCCGTGGACTCTCGGATCAACCGACCTGCAACGCGTGCAGCACGAAAAGCAAGGCATGTTACCCGGCCCTGTGGTTGACACACCCAGCACTGCAGCTATTGACATGACCCATTGAAGTAAGCCAAGCACTCGGCGGCGGCTGTTGCAAACTCTTCATATAAATATGAAGCCGAAGCTCTACCATTTGTAACGACTCGCCACACGAATCGGATAGCATGCTCCTGCACACTGCACGGCAGCTTCGACCAATGGCGCTTTATAAACCTGCAAACTTTGCCCAGCCCGGTGCGCTCTCACAAAGCGCGCGAATCAGCGCGTGCCGTTTGTCCGAATCCTGCAGCAGGCGCGCGAGATCCGGCACTAGACGGCCAACGAAGTCGGGTTCGAAAGAGTCCATTAAATATTGGTAAAACTCGTGGGCCGTGATCTGCTCGTTGCCGTACTTCCGGGTATGCGACGTGAATGTCTTCATTTTCTTCGAATCGCCACCAAATGCTGCCAGCACTGCTTCCAAAATAGATCGGTGCAACAATTGTGCCTCTTCGCCGACAACAGGCTCAACATCTTTGATTGGAAGCGAGCCCACCTTCTTGCGCCTACGACCTGCCGAGGAAGACCCCGCTCTCTCGCGCCCTGCGGATGGTGGTGACACTAATGAGCTGCGCTGCTGCTTTTTCGACTCTTTTTCTTTCTTCACTTGCTCTTTAAAGCGTGCGAAGGCTTCCAACAATGCCGTGCGCTTCCCTTCGTCACAAAGCAGCTTGGCACTGTTCGGGATGATTTTGCTTGCACATTTCAATCCCACACACTGTCGCACCTGGTCACAGAATTCATCGGCTGAAAACTCATTTATACCGAACTTTCGTGATATGTTCTTGAACTGCTCGATCACTGCATCTTCGTTGCCAAACGAATGCTTTTCAGCCCATGTGGTAATCATGGACACAATATCAGCATAAATTGCCTTGGTCTCCGCCGAGTTTTCTTGTCGCTCTTCCTCTTCCCGACGGCGCTCCTCTGCTTCCCTTTGTCGTCGCTCAATCTTTTCTGCGTCAGCAACAGCGCGCGCGGCACCAGCTTCCTCGTAGATCGCAACGAATTCCTTCGTCTGGTTTTGGCGATACGCTTTTTTAAACTCGCTCACGAATTCATCCAGAATCGAGAAAAACTCCATCGGACCGACTTTCCGTGGATCCTCGCCAAAAGAGCTCACAAGGTCTTGGTAAGTGGTCTCGAGGCCATTGAAATCACGACCTAGCTCCTCAAGTACCTCTGCTGCGTCCTTTGCAAACGGATTCATCACCTCGAAAAATTTGTCGCCGTCGATATGATCATTCTTAGAAGCACGCACTTGCCCCTTCAGCATTGCTAGCTCAGTATTGTAAGAAGACAAGTCGGCACGCAATTGATCAAGAGACAGTCTCTTGGCTTCGACAATGTGAGGAACCTCTCCGGCAAACGTGATGATGTCCGGAGCTTTCTCTTCAAGCTGACGCAACAAAAAGTGCATCAAAGTGATTCGAGAATCAACAGACTTCAGCGTGTGTAGCTTTGTAAGCGTGTCAAGCTTGAATCCATAGGCACCGCCACGAGGCGTGCTGCCATTCAAGTAGTTACCGATTGCTAAGATATGCTCCAGAACACGACGAAATTTGTCACTCTCGGCCACTTGGTCCGTAGCAGCAACCAGCGTATCTAATTGGGCCTGTGTCTCCAGAATGCGGCTCTCAAACTGTAGCTTGTATCGAAAACACTTGATACGCTGAGTGTATCGTGGGATGGTCAGAAGATCCAGAAAGAATTTCTCCACATTTCCAAGAAGCGCCGCATCTCCATCGTAATTCTTCAGCATATCTATTTCTTCCAAGGTCGGCGAAATCGATATCAATACATTCAGCATTTCGGAACCCAGTTTCGTGCCATCCAGAGCGTAAATTGCGCGCTTTATGTCCTCGGATGAGAGCTTGAATCGAGCAATGGCAATCGATACATTCTGCTGTCTCTTCGGGTCAAAAAGCAGTACTTCTTTCGGCTGGGCAAGCGCTTTCTCGATCTCCTTTTTCTTATCTTCCTGCTTTTTAGACGCGTCCACCGGGTTCTTGCGAAACATCCACTCCATCTCTCCAAAATCTAGCTCGGCACGCGAATCGTTCAGCTTCATCCATACTGTGCTACTGACAACGTTGACAGGCACACGGGTCCAGAACAGTGGACGCAACTCGACGTTCGGCTTCACAGTCTCTTTCTTCGGAAGCTGGGACTCCTCGGGCTTTTCAGGGGCCGCGTTTTTCATCAACTTAGACGCCAAACTCTTCTTCAATGCTGAGGGGTCGACTTCCACAGCCTCTGTGGGAGGCGGAAGACCGGCGAGAAGCCCACAACCAGCATTACTTCCATGTGTTATCTGGCTAGGAGATGGTGCATCGGGCGTGTCAAGCAAATCTGCATTCACACCGGCGGCTCTCATTCGCACTTTTACCTGCTCAGCGGGCATTCCCATCGATACCAACTTGAAATACTTCTCATATAGCGGATCTTCCTTTACAGTCATCACCTGATTCGAAGCTGCAGCTGACGTTGCGGCGATACCAGACCCTGGCATTGGCGCATCCGGCGTATCAAGAAGGTCAGGATCGAGACCACTTGCAGCCATCTTCAGCTTGACCTGTTCAACAGGCATTCCCATCTTCAACAGCTTAAAGAACTTGGCGCACTGTTCATCATCCTTGACAAGGATGCTACTCGATGCTGCAGCAGTAGCGAAAGCGCCGTTTGCGCTCGGGCTAGGACCCCCAATAACAGCATCTGGGTCATCGAGAACCGACGGGTCAACACCTGATGCCTCCATCTTCATCTTTACCTGTTCAGCAGGTAGACCCATCGCCAGCAACTTGAAAAACTTCAGATAATCCGGATGCTCTTTTGCAACGACTCCAAACCCATCGGTAATCGCCGCTGCTCCCACTACACTACTGGACGCATCCTGAGCTGCCTGTGCTGGTGTCGGTGCGCTTTCATTGCTCGCATGAGCTCTCGCAGCCGCTGCAGCCGCTGCTGTAGCCTCTGACAATGTGCGAGCATGCTCCTTTTCTCTTTCCAGCTGTCGACGCTCAGATTCCGATATCTTTCGTTTGAACTTCTCCACGCGATTGCGCAACTTCTCATTTTCAGCCTGCAATTGCTCCACAAGTGCCTCGTACTCGCTCTTTTCTGCATCTGTCTTTTCGTCACCCTCACCAGCGTCTCCATCCACTTCCTCAGTCCTTCTCTCGTCCGTCACCTTATCGTCGTTGTCCTCTTCTTCCACAGGTGCGCCATTTTCCGATCCGTCCGTTGGCTCTGTAGGCGATCCGCTGTCCTCATCAATGACAGAGAGACTCGAGCCCAGTGAGTCGCTCAGCTTCAGGTCCTCATCTCGAGCCCCATCGTCTCGAGCTCCGCCGTCGTCCGTCCCACTACTCACCGGCGACATCACGTGTTGCGCCACTGATGTACCGCACTCGATACAAAACTTGACCCGCAGTGGCAACTCGTAGCCACATTCGATACAAAACTTGGCCGTGCTCGTTAACTGTCAATCCATCATCACAAGCCACAGAGCAACGTTTGACTGCGTTAGAAATCCGTTATAGAAACGTCGAAGCCCTCGGCCACCCCCCCCCCTCCCCTGCCCTACTCGTCCCCTATCCCACATCGAACAACCAGAAACCCCCAACTGCCACACTGCACATACATTGGTCACATGTCGCGACGGCGCCGACGTCGCGCCGAGCGCCGACACCGTCGACGACGAAAAGCTCCGTCGTTTCTGCCTCGAGCCCGTCACCTCGAGCGTCTCGTCTGTGTCGAGACAGCTCCGGCAGTACCATTGCGGCCGCGCTCGCTCCGGCTTCTTGCGGTCCACCGCCTTGCAGCCACACTCTTTACACACAGCAATGTGGCAGCAGCGACAGTGGTGTCGCCGCCGCAATATGTTGAACGACTTGGCGCACACGCCGCACGAGGGCTCGCGGGCGAACGCGTCGTCCGGTGCCCCGTTGCGTCGGCTTCCCGGCGACGCGCGCGTGCGGGACGAAGTGGGCGCTGCCGTCGCGCAGCTGATCCCTCCATGGCGCGCGCCGTCCATGGCGATCGAGAAGCAGCTGGGATTATGTGACGGTCGCGGCGGGCGCAGCGCGCGAAATCAAGTGTTGCAGGTCCAGTATGCGGTTTGACGAGGCACGCGGGGAGCACATGTCGCAAAGGTTTACTGCACGACTATGGCAAGGGGACAACCCATGATGACGGGACAGGGCAACGAGTGCAGAGACGGGGCCGAGTGCACGGAACTTCAAGTGCCACGCCAGATGCCCATTGCGCTTGCGCGTGTCTCCGTGGCGCAACCGGTTGTTGCCTCGCGGTAAGTTGCTCGAGCGCCTCGTTGCGGCAACGTGCTGGACGACGACGCCCGCCCCAAAAAGCACTTTGTGGCTGGACGCTCGTGCGTTGTTCTTCGCCCAAACGCCCGCGTTCAGCCGTTTTTCTGTCCGCTCGACGGTCGTGGGTCCATTATAGGCGCAGGTAGAGCCTACAGAGTTGTTCGTATGGCATTTGCTCACTTGGTATTGTTCACTTGGCATCGTGGGACAAGATGGTGCTGTTTGGGCCGTGTCGTAGGGCAGTCCAAAGGGCGTTCTCTTGCAGCGAAACGCAGGCAATGTCAGGCTGGCTGCGCCGAACCCATCGGCCGGCTGCGCTTTCCAGCACGTTGCAGCCGATAGGTCGTGCGTGTCGAATAAACGGTACAGCTGAACAGGGTCGCCGTGACGCCTCTCGTTTCGTAAACACCGGTCGGTCTGGTAGAAGCTCAAGTCTTTTGTCTGATCACCGTCCCCACAATGACAGGTAGTGATTGCGCCAGACGCGTCCGATCCATACTTTCCCGATCACAGATGGCACGCGTCCACAGTGAGACGATTGACGATTGACTACCAATACAAAAAGCTGAGCGTCGATGCGCACGTAGACGTCATCGCCGCATTGGGCAAGTTGGTAAATGGTGGACGACTTTGTCCTGTTTCGGACAAGTCGATCTCTTGACAGCACTTGACAAGCATTTAATGGGTTACCGCTCGTCGTGTACACAAGATGAACAGTCATTACACTGAGCTCCTGTGACGACGACCATAGCACGTGACATTCGAAAGTCGACTCTTTCGACGTGTCCCTATGTCTCAAAAAATAAGCCCATCTCATGCCTCGGCAACTCACCTCCGTTGGAGTCAACGCAGCCTTTTACATCATAAAAGCAGACAAGCCTATCAGTCACACGAGCTCTCGTCGGACCCCTATAGCTCTTGGGTTCTTCCAGCGTCGCATGCGAGACATAGAAGACTAGTAAGCCTTGAGTCAGAGGGACCATTCGTTTCAGGGTAGAATTGAGCTCATCCAACGTTTTTCTGATAGCTGTCTTGGAAAATCCTATATTCTCTGGAGGCGGGTAGAGTTCAGCAGACACATTCCCTTTGAAGAGTGTAACACAAGTAGCAAAAACCGCACGAGCTTCAATTCTGATCGAAGGTGTGATTCGCAGCTATGTTGATCACCTAAGGATTCGGTCTTCGTTTGCTCGCGTAAAGGTTGCTCGATCATGTGCTTGGATGCTTGGTCAAAGACGCAGCTTGATTCCTGCTAAGAGAGATCTCCGACTGCGTATGGATCGTCGGTCTACCACTTTGTTTCTTGTTTGCCTCTTACCTTTCACAAGAGAGCGGCACGAGGAACGCATAACTTGAATCGCGCGGTAAGATGACACTCAATCTATAGGTCGCGATGCACCGGCTCACGACGGACAAGATCTGTTAACGTAAATGATGCCATCATCATTTAATCAGGCAAAGGATCCAGTGCATATTTCAGGAGGCTTAGATTAGCATATAGTGTGAATTAAGAACCAGATAATCATCACTCTTTAATTTACCAGCTCAAACACTACACAATCACTAACTAGATGAGGATCGATCATCAATTCGTTTTGTTGCCGTTTGGACCGATGATCACGGTCTCAGTCCGCCGACATACCGTAAGCACATGCGACGATATGAATTGCGCTGTTTTACACTCAGATGCGCTTACATACTATACTTTCTGCGGATAACTTGTGATCTCGATCTATGACCGAGTGTCAACGTTAGCGGTAACACCAATACCCCTTTCAAATATGCTGAGTCTGCGGATCGCGTGTTTATATAATTACGTAGCCGTGTTTGTTATCAAGAGGTGGTGGCTCCAGGATAGTCGGGTCAGATAGGCAAAGATGACGATTACAACGAAGTGAAGCCCGTCATCAAGTATTTAAATCGCGAATCCTGGTCGATTTGGCAGGTGATGTACTGTGCACGCCTTCAATGTCGGACGAAGGGTCGTGAGCTTCTACTTTTTTCGGGTGCGCACAATCGGTCGAAGTTGATCAGAATGCCAACAAGAGAAGTAAGTCTTTTACTTCATTGCACGGTGTACATTGATGTGTTCTTATCATATCTTTGCTGGAGCCTGATGCCTTATTTGTAAAGAATTGCGCCTGTAAAAACCATGAACCTCAAAATTTTTCGAGGGACACAATCCATTGAAGCCCCATATATCTTTCTCCTCAGTTCTTTACATCGTGTTGTTGCTGATATTGAGGTATATTGAGTACCGCAATCGATCAGCAAGACCCATTCCACTATCTGGTGCAGCTACTTATTGAGATATTTATGTGAAAACTCACGAAAACGAGTTCAACTCGGCAGCAGTTGTGTTGCTGCATAAGCCTTGGCATAGGAGGTCTGAAATGGGCGGGCGAAAGCTACAACGTCGACGGCGAGTGACTTCTCGAGCCCAAGATTGACGTCGCGCGAGTTCTGATTCTCGATGCTCAAGGCGATAGCCCGAGTGGTTGGTGCGTGAACTTGCAACTATACCTTAGTATTCAGCTCGACGTTTGAAGCAAGGTCGGCCATCTTGATTTATTCTCGGAAATGATGGGCTTAGGTGGAGACTGCGACGGCGTACGCGAGATCTCGTGCTTCGCGGTATATTGAGGCCGAGTGCGGCTTGCGTGGTGATCGATACAGTCGGAGTTGATCGAGTAACATGACACTTTCCCCAATGAAATGCAGCAATGTGAATGCGCTGTATTGTGCCTGACGAACTTCATGGATATGGCCATATATTTCGTCCATGTTTATTGTTGTTGAACGCAATACGAGTGACATACTAGCCAACCAAACGACGTTACAAGCGTGTGTTTGTGGCTGAACAAGGGCGACGACGGATCCGGAGCCACCTGGCCCGGGGTTGCCTTGCTAGCCACCGTTGAGAACAGTAGAAACAGGTCCCATGTGGAAGCCGGCGATACAGGCGACAACATTTGTAGCGGAGCTACACAGGTCCTTAAGTAAGAGGAAGACTTGACGCTCTACGAGCAATTTTGGGACAAAGAACCCGACTCAGAGAGTCAACAAGCTTAGATGGCTTACGTTCTCTGTTCCAGGGGGACCAAACGATTCAAAGAAACATAGCACAGAGTGCTCTAAGTATATCTGCTTTAACAAGGCGTTGAGATACTCGTTAACAACCACAAGAGGCCTCAGAGAGGCAAGTGTCTTTCCGATCAAAATGGGAGCTGAACATTGTTTGTTTTTATCTAAAAGAGCATCTCAGAATAACGTACTTAACCTAATCACTAATATTCTGATGAACACCTCTCGCAAGATCTCGTACTGAATGGTTGACATACATCAGTCTTCAACAAATAATAGGCTGTTCTAATATCACTTTTAATGAGATCTCATCCCTTGTGTGCACCACACCAAAGGTCGACTTACAGTCGACGTCCAACCTCAATACAGTAAACCAGCCTCGATGTTCGACCAAGTGTCCCCATACATTGCAAATTAAGCGCCATCGTCGCTCGGCTGTATGGCACTATTAGAAAAGATGAGCATCAGGAGCAAAGTCACAAAATGATAATTATGGAAATGGGCACGATAGGTTGTTGCTGAGCGGTGTATTGTGAAAAATAGTTATTATTGTATCGGTCTAGTGTCTAAGAGGTATACGAGGACTTAGCACGGAATATGCGGAGGTTACGCCAAGGCACCATTGCGAAACTGTGTGCAATCAGTTCCTGTTCACGACTTTGTATTCGTTGGTTTCGATGGAGAAACCTGTCGCGTATCGAATTACCGCCACAATATTCTACATTGGTCGAGAACAGGGTCTACTTCGACATGAGCCAGCTCACATATGTGCGATTTGTGTCATTGTAGGAGGGATATACAGTATACGAGTGTCCCATGCGCGCTTGAAGCAACCTGGTCACATTTATCCATGGCATTTACCGATGTAAATGATGATGCGTTATGGTATGATTAGAGATCGTGATTTGCCTTCCACTTTCATTCAGTATCCATTATAGAAGTTGGGGAGACCTCACCGTGTATGGTGATAACTATCCCGGTGTAGACGGGCGGATCAGCAGAACAGGGATAGTTAGTACAGCGCGTGGCAAAACCCTCAATTTGTCTAGTTTTATAGTATGGACATAAATGCCCGACTCCATTTTAGATGTGAAGCAATCCCGTCCAGGTCTGATCTATGTCCATGTCAATGCATCTCCAGCTGTTGTTTTGTCTATCAGAAAATTGCGTCTTTGATTTGTACGTAATATATCATGAGAAGTTAGCCAAGCCAAATTCGATAGCGATGCATTTTCTGACCATTGCAGATCCACACGCTTAATTAAGCTGCTTCTGTCGTCAGATCTTGATTGTGTGGGTGTTTAGAATGGCAGTGGCATCCAAAAAATGCTGATATTGTCATAGTAGGTGTCTTGATTGTGTTTACAAAGGTCTTGGCCCTGCAACTCATGCATTCAGCGATCCCGCATCGGGCATGTTCCGCCGCTGACAACCCAAACACTTCTTCTCCAGTTTCCCTCAATGTGGTTTTTACACGGACCGATAGTGCACCAGACCAATTTGAAGTGACGTAATAGGGTCGGGTGCTGAAACTTCCCCACAAAACGTTTCGAATAAGGGTGTCACGGGTAATGATGTAGCGGACCAGGTCCCTGCCGTTTTTGCATCCATCTTTTTATCTCTT